TATATTTCTCCATCCACATGTGTCATGCTGCCCACCTTCATTAACCCACACTGATGAGTGTGACGTATGGCCAAATTACCTCCACGTTACGTCCGAACAGTTACACGCTAGGCCTACGTGGATTCATCTGTTGAAATCGATTGTTAAGCTCATGCGTGTAAGAGTCAGTCTCATTAATATTCATATGATTGTAGTTGGTTCATGTGACAAATGTAATGCACCACAGGATTTTAACAAAAAATCTATTTTCAAATCAATTCTCAACCGTGCATTTTTGATAATTTGTCAAATTTTAAGGGTGGCAAATCATTCTGGCCCAATTATATACACCGTGTGTATTTGAATTGTGCAGCTAAATACTATTAGCATTGGACTTAATTTTAAGTTTTAGAAATTAACCGTTCATCTTTCATGTCAACTTTGTACTTGAACTTGACTCTTTTGCCTTTAACCTTGTGAATTATTCATCACGATCGCTCTTAGAAGAGAAGACTAAAAAACGGAAGGCGAAATTTTATTGCGCGGTTATCCAAATTGAACTTTTCATCAGCGTTTCTCAGCACCCTTGATATTTCCTGATTGCCGCTCAGATCAAGGCTCTGATATTTCTCCCCCCCCCCCCCCCCCCGCAACTCTGCATACACTGAGACCACCACTTAAGTTTGGGTGCTTGGATTTTTAACATAGTTACATTTTAATGCGACGTTTTGTTTCAACCGCGCGTCTCCCGCGATTGGTTTGTCAATCAAGTCGCCCATTAATTTGATAAAACGTTGAAGGTTTCCTTTCTTGTGATTTCTGCTTCAAGGAGTTATCTCATTTGCATGTGTGTGGCAGTGCCACTATCTATTTGTGCATGCAATATGAATAAGTTATGATTTTCGGGCAGGCGCTTGGGGGGGGGGGGGGGAGTTCGTGGGGGCGGTGAGGGGGGGGCGTGTGGGAGGGGGGTGAAGAGGGTAATATCAAAGGTAGAAGTTTGGTAGATCAAAGCCCAATCGCAGTCCCCTATGACGGGTTATAGGCAGCAGCTTCTTGGGGTTTTGAGGAGACGGGCCGCCATCATTAAGCTCCGAGGCCCATTTGCTCTCAAACTTTAAAAGTCCCCGGCACGCCAACCCCCTGCATGGGATTAGGGCCACCGTGTTAATGTCATGGCCAGTTTAATGTCATTAATCTGAGAGTAAAGCAATTTCCTTCCGTTTGTGTATGCATCCAAGTGGGACAAAATTTGTGGATTGAAAATTAAAAAATATGGCCACTCGCCGATGGTACCGCCGGAACAATTTCACGGCGGAAAGTTTAAACGAGGTCTTAATGACCTATTTCGGGGGATTTTGTTCGAATGGTGGCGGTTCTAATGTGAAGTGTAAAAAATGTTGCGATTGTTCCTCAAATACCCATTTTTAAATCCATTCAAAGGACAAATGCAATGTTTTCTAACAAATTTGTATTATTATATTATTATTTCCCTTCTACGTGACTTTACCGAAAGAACCAAGAATATGAATTTGGGTTCTCCTTTACAATGAGTGTTTGTTCCCACTTACCCGGTCTTCCCTGCTACAACTGCTTGGGAACATTGAGTGCATCCACACTTCAACGATGTTCTTTCTCACCTCATCCGAATGTTTTTGTTTTTTTCCTATGTTCATTTTGTTCACCTCTGGTAGTTGTCGTGAATTAGAATTTTCAGGGATCCTTCATTATATACATAAGTGTCCTGTTGTGTGATTCCTGCATTTTCCTTTTGTTTCCCAGGCATCCCTTGAACAAAAACTGATGTGTCGTCAAAAAGGCCTCTGTCACCTCGTTGGAAACAAAAAGTTAAAACCCAGTAAAAAAATATATAGGCATTGTCCAAAAACAAGCCTCCTTTTCTCCACAATCCTTTATGATACTTCATGCCACTCTTGTCAAATCCCATGTGGTATTCGTACAGGCTTAATGAGAGCACATGTAGCAGGCAGAACAACGGCAAACGGATTTACAGTGGATTTCCTAAACCAAATCAAAATGTGATAGGACAGAGTGCGACCTATATGAAAGAAAAAAATATTACCAAGTGGCTTACACCGAGGTGCAGTGGACCCAATCAAATCGTCAAGGGCCACACGCAGCCTTATTTGGCACCATTGGTGGAATAAAAAATATAGCGCATTAAACGAAGCGGGCAGGCAGAAAACACAAAAAAACAAAACACTCACAACCTGTGCATAGATTGTTTAGAAACCCCTCAACGCAAAAATGCCCGTGGAAATTTTTCACCGATTTTTTTTTTGTCTGCAGCAGCGGCAGTCTTGGCATTTTTCTTGTTTCCCCCTACCGCTGATTACGCAGGAGATCACGCATGAATGTATGCGTACATCAAACTCTTATTTTGAGTTTGTAACGATCTTACCCCCCCCCACCCCCACCACCACCACAGTCGAAACGCGCATTAAATACCGTAAAAAAGCTGCCCATTAAATAACCCACGTTTGTTTCGCCGCAGTTGGCAGCTATCGACCGCTCGTAGAAACGAAACGCTCTGCACAAAGCGAAATCAACACAGGCACGGTGCCTTGCATTTAAATGCCACGCTTTCAATTTGAAAGTCGCTTCGTCGGCAATTTCGGCTCCGTCGATGCCACCCCGCGGACGTATCGGCGGCCACGGGCCCGTCCATCGTCCGCCGCGTTGGGACGGATGGCGAATGGTTGTGCGATCCCCACTATCTCTTGCTCTCTTCACCTTGTCCAGAACGTGCGGTGTTGCTCACCGTTGCGTGGTATTGCCGAGGCAGAGTTTCGCCAAAGTTGTTCCACGAAATTGAATGCACACCCCCTCCACGCTGTCCAGGTCAGGTGTTGCCTTCTCGACGAGAGCACTTTTGGAAAGGTGATTTAGTTTGGCTGATTTTTGATGCATTGGTCTTTCCACTGCACTGTTTGCTTTTTTATTATAGATGTGTACGTGGATTCAGAGACATATTTTATTAAATCCGTAGCACTAAAGATGTTGGCTGAATATGAGCATTATAACTACAGATAATGTGTTCATGGACGAGACAATGAGACTTGTGATATTTTATTTATTTCCTGTTCCATTGCCGAAACCACTTACATAAAATGTATTATTGTAAAGTACAATTACAAGGCGCATTCAAATTCGGCACACAAGTGCAGATGCCCCTATGGAATGGAACACAACACAACCATCACGAATAATAATAATTTGAAATGGTTTATGATGTTACCATCGTGCCTTGTGCCAAGTTTCGTGCACAGCAAGTCACTCTGAAGTGGAAAAAGCTTCATAACATGTTAGTGGTCATGGGACAAACCTAGGTTTGAGCAAAATGACAAGGATTGGCCAGAAACAGAATCCATTGCTACCACGCCACCAAAGCTATTTGCTTTGTTACATAACACGGGACATTCCACAGTGTTATGATTGTCATAGAAGGGACATTCATAGACACATTATTAAGCTAGATTTGAAGCTTTCGTGACTGCAAGGATTCATACTCTTAGGTTTTTTTGGTAAAGCCACGTAGGAAAAAATAAATAACTAAATAACTATTTTATTATAATACCAATAAAATAATGAATCACGACGTTTAGAAGGCAATACAAGCTTCCTTCATCAGGTGTAGAAAGGCACAGCAAAATAACTGTAGATTAGTTATAACTGTAGATTAGTTATTTTGCTGTGCCTTTTTACACCAGATGAAGGAAGCTTGTGTTGCCTCCGAAACGTCGTGATTCATTATTTTATTTATATAATAAATTGTATTTATTTATTTCTCCCTACGTGACTTTACCGAAAATACCTAAGAGTACATTATTAAGCCCTACTGCATTTACTTTTAATGCAGTGTTCATCATTATGAACACTTATTAACAAACAAGTTCAGAATCAGAATCTTTATTTAGACTGTACGAATCCGATAAGCTATGAAGCTCTTTTTCACAAATGTCCAGTATGGGCGGGGCAGCAAAGTTTACAGGTGGAGCGGCGTTGCGGTGGGGTAAGCCACCGCTGCTTTGTGAACCCGACAGCCTGAGTTCGATTCCCGGCCATGGCTAACATTGGTGAGAAAGTAATATCTGAACCGGCCCTGAGCTCCAACCTGAAGTATGAGCCAAAAACCCTTCTGCGGCCGTCTGTAACACTCATCCTTCCGATATTTTGAAGCCACTGGAGCTGATCACTTTTCAATATACAGTGGTACCCCGGAGATCGAACTTAATTCATTCCAGAAGGCCATTCGAACACCGATTTGTTCGAACACCGAATTAATTTTCCCCATAAGAATTAATGTAATAGACATTAATTGGTTCCAGACACAAGACATCTCTCATTATAAAGCATTTTTACACGAAGTTTACAGTAATTACATGCATAAAATCATACAAAAAAACAAGAAACAATAAATAAATAGAATAAATGTCTGGAATAAATGAGATAAATGGACATTGAACTTCACTTTACCTGTAGTAAGGAGAGTTGATTGCTTGATTGGAAGGTGGTGAGGAGGAGGAGGAGGACGTGGTGGTGTTATTGTTTGGAAGGGGAGTCCCCTTTATCTGGGCAAGCCTCATGCACGCTGGCCATACGCTTCTCAGCCATACAGGTTCTTTCAAGATCGCGATTGCCCCGTTCGACCTCCGAATTTCGTTCGGTTTCCGGGGCAAAAAATGTTCGGAAATATCGTTCAAACCGATTTGTTCGAGTTCTGGTGCGTTCGATCTCCGAGGTTCTACTGTAGCTTGAAACGAATTTTTTTGAGTTTTAGAACTGCTTTTTGCCTTTTAGTTTGTCCCTCTCCCCGCACATCCGATTAGCACAGTTGGCAACGTACGGGTGCGAAAGAAGTTCAACATACGTACATACATAACGTCCACGGCTTGGGGAGACTCTCATCCAGCAGCGGATCGGTAAAGAGCAGCGATATCACTGTGACGGCGCTCGTGACTGCATCCCTTTGCCCCCCCGCCCCCTCCTCCTGCCAACAGGCGCTGACCAAGTTCCTCAAGTGCGTCAACTGGTCCCTGGCGCAGGAAGCCAAGCAGGCGCTGGAGTTGCTCGGGCGCTGGAAGCCAATGGATGTGGAGGATTCGCTGGAGCTGCTCTCGCCGCAGTTCACCAACCCCACCGTGCGCCGCTACTCCGTCACCCGCCTGCAGCAGGCCGACGACGAGGTGACCCCACCGTCCGTGTGTCCGTGCCCGGCTTGGTGCCGCGGAGAGTTGACGATGATGACGACGACGGGGGGGGGGGGGTGCAGGGGTGGGGTGAGCGGCTGCTATTAATCTCCACGTGATAGGCCGCTTCGTTGAGCTGTCACGGGGGTCGGCAGCTTGCGGCAGTGTGGCTCATTCAAGGCTGCTTCGTGACGCGTTGTTGATGGAGGACCACCGTCTCGTGTAACGTGCATTGCGGCTGTTGAATTATTTTTGGGTTTTTTTTTTACCGAATTTAAACAAATATGGCTCTTCTTGTTGTTTTGGTTGCTAACCCCTGAGCTATCATTTGTGGCCAGGTCGCTTCTGAAAAGAAGCTAATAGCTGAGTGGGCTTTACGTGGAGAGACGAACATTGTTTAGTTTTATTTGTCTATTTTTAGTGATTTGCTTGCCTTTCCTATACTTTTCATTCCGATCGTGTTTTTGCGTTGTTGTTGTAACGTTCTGACCCAGTGCCCCCTTACTGGACATCTGTGAAAAAGAACTTCATAGCTCATCGGATTCCTCCAGTATGAATGAATATTCTTATTTTGATGAGGGAATGCCGGGGGGGATAGAGGGAACGCCACCTGACGCGCGAGGGCTTGCGCGCCAGTTCAGAGGTCACTCGACGCCAGTGTCGCTCGTTGCCGGGAACCAAATTCGACTTGCCGGGTTCATAGCCGCGGAGCGCTAACTACGGTATAATTTCCATAATAGAGGTTTTCTTTTGGTTAGATCGCATTGAATATAAATGTGCCGCTAAACCCGCCACCACCTGACACGGCCAATTCGTAAGGTTTGTCACTTAAACATGCTCGGGTGAAAAACCTTTACTGATTGGCTGTCGGGTGGTGGCGGGTTTCACGACACATTCATATTTACGCGAGCTCACCCAAAAAACTTCTATTATGGATAGGATTGATCGCGAAAGCCTACGTGTTATAAACTACTGTACACTAGGCGATACTTTGGGCCCTTATCCCTTCATGTGCTGTGAAGAAGGGCCATTGGCCCGACACGTTGCCTATTACATACATTAATATTTATTTATTATGTTGCCCTGTAAGGCCACACACGGTGTTATTGACCAAGGGGTTGAGTTCGTCGTTAACGCGCCACTGCTCCTCGTACAGTACGTTGCGCGCAATTGGCAATCGGTTCGCGTGACGGCACCCCCCCCCCCCCAGCCCCCCACGCAGCCACCAGAGGCGCTAAAGTCACCACAGTGGAGAAAACAAAAAATGGGAGAATCGTATCATGACCCCCCCCCCTTCCCCCGATCTTGGCACTCTGGAATTGTGAGGCGATGGGTTGTGGATGTTGGGGGGGGGGGGGAAGGTTGTGGGAGGGTGGAAGGTTGTGAATCATTAGAGGACTGCTGAGCAAGTAACCTGCACAAACACCTTGAGGCACCTTGGCCTGGGCAGTTGTTTCCATATGCACAGGCGTCTGAGCTTTTTAAAGTGTCTACTGTCTCAGTATTTGTTTATTATAGCTCAGTTGTGTATGGGGGGGGTTTGGTTCCACGAGGCAAGCATGGGGGGGTGCGGCTCCGTACCGACCGCGTGGCTCACCGTGCCTCCGCACGTGGCCCCCCTGATGGAAGGGCTTTGTGCACCGCCCTTCCATTCGCGATGGCCGCTGGTAGTGCCCGGTCCATAGAAGGGGGCCCCCTAAGTAGGAGGTTTTTTTCATTTATTGTTGGGGGGAGGGGGGGGGGCAGCTCTCTTTTCAACTTAGAAACTTCTATTGGGATGACATAAGAGATTTAAAATATTCTTGGTTCTTTCAGTAAATTCGCGTAGAATGGAACTAATTAAATAATACGAATAAAACAATTAAATTCTCACGACGTTTCGATTGCAATACAGACAATCATCATCCGGTGTGAAAACCACAGCAAGCAAGAAAAAACCACAGCACGCAAGAAAATTGCTTGAATCCCTGCAGTCACGAAAGCTTTAAATCGAGATTTAGAATAGTGATAGAGATGTATTGAAATGAGGGGCGAGAGATACAGATGAGGCAGAGATGTGACGTAAGAGATATATAGATGTATTGAGATGAGAGAAGAGATAGGCAGATGAGACGGTTATGGAGTACAGACTTTTCAAATGGCTGATAGCGAGCAACAATTAGATGTTCTATTTGAGGTTGGTGAGTTATGTCATGAAACGAGAGCGACAAAAAAATTCAAGAGCAAGATTAAAAACGAGATTCAGACAGGATAAGAGAGATTAATTGGATTTGTATGTTATATTCACGAGGATCTGAATTCGGGCTGATATTCAGTTATTCCCTTATTTTTTCCACTAATCTGGGACCTTCTGAGCTGTTTGGATCCCTGAGATTTTGTTTAATTTGTTCGTGCCTCGCACCACCTATGACGACTGCACCTGCCTGATGTGCACTGCGCTATTTCCTTCCCACCCCCGCCTCCCCCTTTTTCGACTAAGCAAAACGCGGAACGTTTTAAAACGCACTTGCGTTGAGTAACCGAGGCTTTCCGTCCGTCTGGCCACCGCTGTTGACTGTTCCGACTGTGGTTTTCATTGCTCAGAAGAAAGCGAGTGGAAGAAAAATAGTTTTTTTTAAATCTTCGGCGGCGCAAATCACGAAGGAGCTCCGTGCATAGATCGAGATCGGTTTTGACTGGACAGCGAGTAGGAATGTTCAAAATATTTGAAAAGATTTCAACAGTTTTCCACATCTGCTGAAACTTCTTTTTTTTGCTTCGGGGCGGGGGCGCGAGGGGGGAGGAAAGTTGGGATCGCGAGGACATGCCTGAATTTCAAACGACGCAGCATGGAGTAAATTAAACGCGCATTCCCATCTCCCCGACACATTTTTTGAATTCTCGCGACATCCCTACAGCTGCCTCTCGGTATGACTGCCCACATTGAGTGGATTTGCTCTGGGTGTTGGGGAGTCACAAGTTGAGAGATTCACCGGAAAAAAAAAGAATTTCTCTGATGAATTCAAAGAAATGTATTTCACCCCCATTTTCATTTTTTTCAAAGATATATGTACGCGTAATGATGCAGTAGCATTGCCCAATTATAGTCTCTGGCTAAGGAACTCCATACATGGTGGTTGTTTGACCATATTTCACCACACTGGTCACACACACATTCACTCGTACATCCTGATCTCTGGACTGCACATTGCACTACATCGCACTACCACACTGGTTTAAATATCTTATTTCTTTAAATACTTTATTTAAATAATATTTTATATTTTAAAAATTCTTGACTGTTGTTTATTTTAAGTTTATTACATTTTTGATTATTTATCTTGAGTTGATCGCCGATTGTTTATTGTTTATTTATGTCTGTTAATTGTGATTAATTTTTTAATTGCTTGGTTGCACCGTGGGACCAAGAGAGAGGACTGTAATTTCATCTGTGTTGTATGTCATGCATGTAACACACTTGACAATAAAGTGACTTTAAGACTTTAAGACTTTTAAGGAAGGGAGGCCAAGAGCGTTTCAGATTCCACGCGCCACCCCTGTTGACCATAGTTGAGAATCGAACTCGAGGTGGTGGCCTACAATCTCCGTGCGCTCCCTGCCGCGTCAAACCTACAATCCTTTCTTTGCATGTTGCACTCACGAATAAATAATTAAAAAGTGTGTGCACAATACAATGTCATCGAGATGAATCCTGAATACTGGATTAATAAATGTATAGTAACAATACTTTTATTGATGCATAGTTTACAAATATCTTCTTGGTTTTTTCGGTAAAGTCACGTAGAAGGGAAATAATAAAATAATAAAAATACAACATAATAAAATAATTCTGTCTTCCCGACAGACCTGTTCTTCACCTGAGGACGGCTGCTTGCGTTGTGGCCGAAACGTCGTGAGAATTATTTTATTATGTTTTATTTGTATTATTTTATTATTTCCCTTATACGTGACTTTACCAAAAGAACCAAGAAGATGAATCCCTGCAGTCATGAAAGCTTTCAATCGAAAGTTTACAAATACTTGCATAAGAACTCTTTAATTGTTAGATTAACCTATTCAATTGTTGCCATAAATGCTCAGTAAAATAGCTAAATGGTGGGTTGTTAAAATGAGTACCAACGTATTACTAATGCACACCTCTACACACAGTATTCAGTGTTAACAAATGCAATAGAGTGATTAAATACGAATTTATCTATACAAGGTTCCAAATTATCGAAGTGAAGGAACATTGTTTAATTAAAGTGCGCAAATGAGCGAACGGATGCTCACGCAATTATCCCTTATTAAAGTCAGGATTCAAACTGAGAAAAAAATAACCTCCACCAAACAGACAGATGGTAAATTTGGAAAGGGCTCCATGTGATGTTGGCTTGCTGTGTCCTGGCAATCCCCTTGCTCGCGACGCTTATGTTGAGCTTGCTTGTACAAAGCGTTGAGTTTTATTCATTGCGACCTCGTCCAATTCTACGCGTGAAGCGTGCACATTGTACCTGAGATATTTCCTTTAATGTATAGAAACGGTGGAAATGAAAGCGAACAAGGCAGATGCAAACAAGATACCGTATAAATGAGATGGTACAAATGAAAAAGCAACTTCACTTCTTGAATCACGTCAACTCATCGAATCGTGATGTGGGGGGGCGGTGTGACATGCCTACTTTTTACAGCTTAATCCACTGCTGGATGAGGGCCTCCCTACGCCTCTCGGTCACGGGGGAATGTTTGTTACCACGCTGACCGGTTGCAGGCCGGTGAAGCGTTTGCCCAGAACTAATCCAGATATCGCTCACCGCTGATGTGTTGTTAGCTGTGGCCAGGAATTGAACTCGGGTTACCAGGTCTACGATGCAGATTGCCGACCGCTGAAAACGCGTTAGGTTTGCTTCGGAGAATTAAAGGTCAATGTTGATTTGAAGTTTTCGTGACTGCAGGTTCTTTCGGTAAAGTCACGTAGGTAGAAAAAATAAATAATGAATCGCGACGTTTCGATCGCAACACAAGCAATCGTCATCAGGTAGAAAGATACAGCAGCAGAACTGCAGAACAAGTTAAGACACTCTACGCCTTTTGGCGTCTTCTGGTCTAACACTGTTTTGAGACTAGGCTCAAAAGAAAGCTGCCTCCGGTGTAGACCAATCAGTTTCAAAGACAATGCATATATTATCAGGGTATTTTTTTGTTTGCATTCTGACCACAAGTATTGTGGTTACTGCAGGCATGATTCCTTGTAAAAGGTTTTCAGTTTGGTGTATTAACATCTTAACACCTGTTTAGTTGCCAGAAAAATGAGGAAAACCTATTCTCAAATGTATTTATTGTTTATCGACATTTATTGACTTGTTTACCATTTTCTCTATTTGGGTTTTCTTGTATTGTTTGTTGACCCGCCTAAACTGACCATCTGTTAAAAAGAGGTTCATGGCTCATCGGATTCCTGTCGTCTAAATCAGATGCTGCTTCAAATATACTGTGAGTTCGATAAAAACTAAACTTTTATTTCACCAAGTAAGGCCCACTGAGCTATGTAGCTCTTCTTCAGAAGCGACCTGGCCACAAATTATAGCTCAACGAAGTGGCTTATCACATGGGAATTTATATCAGCCAAAAACCGGAGGGCCCGGACAAAAAAATCCACATGACCACGGGAAGAACATGCAAACTCCAAATATACAGGCATAGTCAAGGTCAGGATCGAACCCACGACATCCTGCATATCAGGCGAGGTCGTGAACATCTCGCCACCTTGGCGCCCCACAGAGAGACTAAACTGCCGGGACGCAACGTGCCCAGCTGACCGTACGTTTGTTGTGGCTGCATGTGCAGGACCTGCTGATGTACCTCCTGCAGCTCGTGCAGGCCCTCAAATACGAGAACTTCGAGGAGATAAAGGCCGGCTTGGAGCCCAGCAAGAAGGAGACCGGGCAGATGGTGATGTCCGAAAGCACCCTGGCCCCTCCAGCCAAGGAAACGGAGCCGGACGGGTGAGCCCAGCACCCTCTCATATTTCTGCGTTTACACGACCATTACAAATGGGGCTCAAGCCATACCGGGCGATATTTTTGGTTCTGAACTCTCGCACTTTTTCAAGAATGTACGTGCCGTTGCCTCGTGGATCGCTTGTTGTGCCCATATTGGCCAAATTCATGATTTCAGAATGTAAGAAGTCAATATTAAATGATGTAACTGTTAAAATCTAGTACATTTGCGACGCATCGACACGATTAAGGGAATTTTCAATGATTATAGGAATAAAAAATATACACTTTTGTTACGCAAGCCTTCCTTGGAGTTTGGAGATCAGCGTCATTGTGATTTGTAGCGAGTGTTAAAGAACTGCCGTGGGCGCATGCACACATCATACTGTCACCGGCTAACGGTAAGCTTGTAAGTGCCGCATGCTGTTTATTCCAAAAGGCTTGTAAATAACTGCTGGTGTAACCTAAAGCGCCGATGCCTAAGTAGTTCTCAACGCCGCTTTAATTTAGAACGGATATTTGAGCAATAAATCGCGCTCCCACTTAAGAGCGCTCTCTCCAGATAATTGCAACAGCCGAGACAGTCATTGTTGCGATGCTTTAGTGCGGTGTAAATGAACACGTGCATTATTTAACATTTCAGAGATGATTCCACGACAGGGCTCAACATTTTTCTGATAAATCATTAAATACCAAATTGTGTGTATGTGCGTTTTATTTTTTTCAATGTTGCAATATTTAACGCATCGAGCGACAGAGACATTAGCCTCGTCGTAATTGTCATTATTTTTAAGGCACTGTACACATGCGGGCCGCGGTGTAGTGGTTAGCAGCACAGCTGAACTTGCAATCTGGAGGTGGCCGGGTTCGATTCCATCTCCTGGTGCGGCACTTGAAATGATGGGGGGGGGGGCGAGTTTCTCAAAGCCCTCCGCCTTTGTACAGCCGGTGGTGTAAATGGGTTCACCAGGGTAAGTTGATCAGCAGGTCGTTTGTGTTGGGGCAGTGGTGCGTGGGTACGGCCACCGTTTCCAACCGCACCTGGTCCACGTGGAAGAGTAGGCCACATACACTCTTAAGAGTCTGCTCTCTTGGAGGCCCGTTGCACCAGCAATGGTGTGAGCAAGAATAAAATGCAGGACTGATCCTTTTAATCAGTGGAAGAGGCTTATTTGATTTGGTGGACATTGTATTTACAGCTGGATATTGTAATTTTGCTGTGGAGGGGCTCCCCTAGTGGAGGCCATCTGTCACAGCAATGTAAGCAAGAAATTGCAGGACTGCACCTTTGCCTAGTTATGCACACAGAACCAAATTAAATCTCTGGTTGCACCCAGCTGAGCGTTGACCCAATTATATTGGTTTGGAGAAGAAAAAAGCATTTCTAATTATGTTTATATTGAGGCGTTAAATCAAAGAGCAAAGCCCCTTTCCTTTAAGCAAGTCAATTGCGTCTGAAATGTTATCATGTTTACATTGAGGGGGGTGGGTGGGTGGGTTTCACTCTTTCATATTGTCAAGTCAACAGTGTCCTTTCTCTCATCAAACCGTAGTAGACACACCGGCAGTGTTGGTTCAAATTAAAGCACTTGTGTTTTTTTCTTCTTGGTTCTTTCGGTAAAGTCACGTAGAAGGGAAATAATAAAATAATAAAATAAAACATAATAAAATAATTCTCACGACGTTTCGGCCACAACGCAAGCAGCCGTCCTCAGGTGAAGAACAGGTCTGTCGGAAAGACAGACCTCAGGTGAAGAACAGGTCTGTCGGAAAGACAGTGTCTTTCCGACAGACCTGTTCTTCACCTGAGGACGGCTGCTTGCGTTGTGGCCGAAACGTCGTGAGAATGATTTTATTATGTTTTATTTTTATTAATTGTATTATTTCCCTTCTACATGACTTTATCCGAAAGAACCGAGAAGATGAATCTCTGCAGTCACGAAAGCTTTAAATCGACACTTATGTTTTCTCGCTTCCCCCGCGCTGACGTCGTCTTCGCTCTGCGTGTGGCTCGCAGTTCACAGCCCGCTGCGGGCCAGCCTCCTTCCGGCTCTTCGCTGTCATCGACGAAAAGCAAAGACGTGCCTGACAATGAAAACCTGGAGGTGTGCCCCGGCTGTTAGCCATGTTGAACACCGCTGTAATTTAGCAATTTTACACTCGGAGATTTTTAGCGAAGGAAAAAAGAAACGCACAATTTTCTCGGCTGTTTTAGGGAAACGGAGGTTAACCAGAAGGAGCTTGCTTACCCTCGCTCTCGGCTTGTTTCCTAAGCTTATCGTCGCAAAGTACCGCCTTGCCTGCTGAAATTTTGCTGATAAAGGATTCCTCCGCGTACACAGGGCTTTCGCGCTGGGCGCCTTCGCTCGGCACAAGGGAGAAGTCGTGAACACTCAGTCAGAGATGGACTTTACAAGGAAGTTTTTGCTGTAAAATCCATGTACGATTTAGCGGTAGTCTAAAATGCATTAGCAAGCGTGCGCCCCGTGACATAACGAACTAAAAATAGGGGCTGCCTTTGTGACAAGCCATAAACGTGCAAACAGTGTTACGTTATATTGTAACACGTTCACATTAACGGGCACGCAGTTATAATTGGCGCACAGTGATTATCATTTCTGGGCTGCCATTGATATAGCAGTAACGATCCCAATTATGGAAAGGATGAATTCGAATCCTGGCCATAGTTTTCTCGACCAATCCTCTGCAGTCCATAACATGAGCGCCAGCTAGTGGACATTACTGCTGATGATGTGGTTGTACTATGGACTGACCTGTTCCCGGCCAGAGAAATGTAGAATTTGCATCTGTGGTTCATGGTTATCATCAGCAGTGAGCACTGCTCAATGACACTTTTACTTTTTGACTGTGAACAAAAATGTTTTTTTTTTTCCAGTGTGATCTCTGCACCTTTCTGGTGTCACGGGCATGCAGAAACGGCATGCTCGCCAACTACCTGTACTGGTAAGTACCTGCGGTACACGTGGCCACATCTGCTCCTCGACCTCTGCAGCGAGGGCCACTGGCTGGACATTCACAGCCAATGGTCAACTCTGCAGAACGAGCGTCTTGAAATCCCTTTCGCTCGACGCTGCAGAGAGAATCATTTGTGACTTCTGTGCGGCTCATCTGTTTGGGAGAAGTTGACTGTTCACGAGTGCTCTTTCAAGGAATGAATAAGAATGACCGTTAATTAAAGCGGTTATCACCAAGCGAAGTGGCTTAACTGGAGCTCCTGGGTACCAGTGAATGATTGTTGGCAGTCCTCCAGTACTTGTGAGCTTCTGCTCGTTAATCGAGTCGCAGTGTAAATAACCTGTTCCTGTACACAGCCTCTAGAGGGGTCGACGTATATTTGTTTTGGGACATTGATTTTTTTTAATGAGACAACTGGGAGTGGTGGAAAAGAGGACTTTAATTATTTCAACGCTGTGCATTGTTTAAAAAATATTGCACAGAATGTATTTTGTTTTTTTCGTAAATAAAGTCACTCGTTTGTCCCCATTGGATTTCCACTCGGCAGAAATTCAATAAAACATGTCTGCAGCCAGCTGGTGCGATTAATTGTTTGATTGATGAGGCCTCAACCTGTTTTTTGTTTGTTTTTTTCCTCAATTAAAGTTGTCCAATTGATATCAAATCATGCGAGGAATACATTTCCATTTGTAGTGGTGGCCGGGTCTCTTCAAGTCAGAAGCTCTGAGCAGACAGCTGCTGAGAAAACCCAGGTTCAATTCCAGTCAGCCACCCGTGGTTAAAGCCTATTCTCAAGTGTAGCTAGTTTATGGGTCCATCCCGGGTCTCCCATGATTGCACAGGGAGAGAGACCCGATTTCATCACAGGCGGCTCAAACTTGGATTTGAATCCAGGATGTCGGTAGTGCTGGCTCGGTGCTCTGGCGTGATGTGAGCTCTGGGCCACCCGACAACTTCTGAATTGACCAATTGGTCCCATTGGATTTGTTCTTGGTAGCAGTTCAATTAATATAATATTCCTCAAACCAGCCGGTGGATTGATTTGTTGTGCCAGCCTGAACTTGGATGACCTCTGCACGTAAATAACTTGCCGACCCGCCCCTACTGTACATCTTTGAAACATAACTTAATAGCTCCTCGGATTCCTCCTGCTGGAGTCTAAATAAAGATTCTGACCGACGTGGCTGCCCCCAAACCCAGTGGGTTAATAATGTACCATGGCTGCCCCACAGGTACCTGATTGTGGAATGCGAGGACCAGGACACAATACAGAGAGACCCGAAGACGCACGACATGTACATCAGCGTCATGCGCCGGTTCAGCCAGGCCCTGCTCAAGGTCAGAGCCACTTTGGGGGGTGGAATGGCCGCCACTCTTTTCTTTGTCTGTCTCACAATTGTTTTTGCTTCTTTCGCCAATCTTCTCCCGCTTGCGCTCTCGGTACCACGTCATGAGACGAAGAATCCCGTCATTAACCCTTCCCCCTTGTTAGAGAATGGCTCTTGGAAACGGATATCGGTGAAACTTCAAGGAGATACTTTCAAGTAACTTCTGGTCCATGTGATAGGGCGGGGCAGCACTTACCACCCACACGCCTACAGAGACTGCACATAGCAACATTGCTCCCTGCTTGCGCAACTTGGCACTCCGGCTATATTTGGTAGAAAAAAAGCGTAACAGTCATAATAATAATAAGTAGCATTTTAAAATACTTTTTGGAAAAAACGCTTTAATGAAATGTACCGTACTAGTAATGGCAGAACTCTATGACTCCAGGAAGTGGCCCCGAGGCTTGCCATAACGTAAGGGACTGTAGTGATTTACAGCCAACGTCAGTTGAGCGTGGACAATTAGACGCAAGCCGAAACATAACATAAAAAATAATGTTTAAAATATATCTATTTTTTATGATAGAATATTGTATTTCCATCAGTATGACATAAGTATACCAAGTTTGCAGTCGATACCACCTTGGGAAGTGGGTACAAATTTAGTTACAAGATTTGAGGAAACAACAACGACGACAACAACAACGACGACAACAACAGTGAGTTAATAAAAGCGTGTAAAAATTACGAGCCTTAATCCACTTGTTTGAATTTGCATTCTAATGCAGTGAGTGCACATTTTGTATAAATATTAAAATATTAAATAGCGGGAGTGAAATTGGGAGATAAAAAAGGCAATTGCTGAAATCTATTTCTGGATTTTCCACACGCGAAACTCAAGGTACAACTAATAAGAGTGAAATAAAGTTTCACAATCTGTCCCGACGAACACGATACCGCCATGGTTGACAATAACGAACATAACCTCTGCACTGTTCTTACGTAAATTTCAACACTTCTAGTAGAACGCCTGATGACCTTGGCTGTAATCACCAGCGAAATGTCATACTCGGTTGTAAATATTTTGGGTTTGCTCTCTTAACACACACGCAAGCGGTGGTGCTTTAATTCTTTAATTAGTCAAACATTGGCACATTTTGTTCACGAGACAAACCTTACTCATTGGCTGTGTCGGGTCAAGGTGGGTGTACGACATAGTTACATTAACCCACAAAAAACTCTATCTTGAGTTAATTCCATCTTGTTCTGGGAGCACATGAATATACGAAGGAAATGTTGCACCTTCACGGAATGTCTTGCGGTGGGAGATTGAGCAAAATGCTTTATTGCCATTGACAGTTCAATGTAGACGGTGCATCCTCTAGATTTTCAGCTACACTGCCACGGTGGTTTATATTTTATTTTTCGATAAAAAAAATACTGGCCCATTGCTTTATCTGAAAGAAGAAAAATCGAAATTCTCCAAACAATTGTAATGTTAAATTTCGATTGAAAGCTTTCGTGACTGCAGGGATTCATATTCTTCGTTCTTTCGGTAAAGTCACGTAGAAGGGAAATAATAAAATAATAAAAATAAAACAATAAAATTCTCACGACGTTTCGACAATTGTAATATTTCCCAAACGTCATTATTTGACTTCGAAAACATTTGGTGCAATTGAGGTAAAAGGTAATTGGAGATAGGGAAAATCAGGCTTTGTGCGATTGTCTGCACATGTTCACTTTGATTGTGTCCCATTACTCTGGGTTCAACTATAATCCGTCAGGATCTATTTAGAATTGCCAGAATTTGTGTTGATGCGCCCGCAATCAATTGCATTTGCTTGTGATCGATACGCGCAATCATTTGCCATCGATTTAAGACTATATGCAGGCCTTAAAAAAAACCTGCAGAGTTTTTGGTGGCTCATCTGAAATTGAGGTCCGCATAGGGTAGGAGTGTTTAACTTCTGTCACACAGGGACAATGGTGCTCAAGTAACAACAACATTTTCGACAAAAGAAAATAAGTGTATAACATTTTTGGAGAAAGTCAGAGAGTACAAACAGTTGCAGATTAATAAAAGCCACCCTCGCATTCAGAGTTGTAATCGTGACGGAAGACACACACACTTGTAGGGAGAGAGACCTTTGTAAGGATTCGCGATCCTTTTGTGTGCAGCCTTCAGTATTTATAGATATTCCTTATTCCCGTAACAGGAGCCAATCTCTCTGTATAGGGTGTGGCCACATTTTCCTTCCCACAATGTGATACCAATTATATCAATCCTGGAGCAGTGATGGGCTGAGCCAACCCTTGACCAGAATTTGAATATTCAACTTTTAACATTTCTAATCCAGCACTTTGGACACAGGTTGGCTTGGCCTGGTATTTTGCGATTCATTCTTCCATGCCGACGGGCAGGTTCATGGCTCTCCAGTTCCCTCCACACTCTCCGACATTGTGCCTCTATCATCTTCCTGTGCGTACCACCGCCAGCACCTTTTCGTTTTCTACCTCTTGCGCTTCACCCCAACTTCCTTCTGGAGCAGTGCTCTTCACTGCAAGGCTCGTGGGGGCACTGGTGGCACCTGATGTGTGGCCCCTAACGATACATAAATATGACGAGACTCCTTGCAGGGTGGTGTGGTGGCCCTCACACTGATGTCTTATTGGTGAAAGTGACCCCTCTCTGAAAATTAGTGAAGAAAACACTGCTCTAGAGCTTCCTTCAGCACAAGACCGTCCTTCTGATGATGATAATAATATACCTAACTCGAATATTTTATCCTATCCAGAGTTGTTACAATGAAACTTATCTCATCCTGAACCCATTCTAGCCACTTCCTTATGACTATTTTTTTCTCCCGTCCAGTTTATTTTCACCTTTCGATCGCGCCCGCACATTCCAAACATTCTATTGATACATTTCAAGCATATTTTAACACTAGGAAAATGTTGCTTTCGCATTAATTGTGTAATGCTTTTCAACAAATAATTATCAGTATGGAAGCTCGGCGGGTAGCTAATGGCGCAAGATACACATGCCTGTTTGCAAAGAGTCCATTCGAGTGCTTTTGCAGGTGTCGCCACAATTTATCCAACAACCCTTTGATCAATGTGGCCAGTCTTCAATCGGGGGATTCCCGAATAGGAATGCAACTTTACGCTAAAGTTTCATTCACGCTAGATCATCATTGTGAATGCTACATTTCTCCCCGCCGCTACATACGTACATACAGATCGACAGACAGCGCTAACGCATAAAGCGTCAACAAGCGCCCCTCGGACTAGGTTGGAAAGCGTCAACAAATAAACCAAAAAAGTCAGCTGTGAATTTTTCGATTTAAAGCTTTCGTGACTGCAGCGATTCATCTTCTTGGTTCTTTCGGTAAAGTCACGTAGAATGGAAATAATAAAATAATAAAAATAAAACATAATAAAATAATTCTCACGACGTTTCGGCCACAACGCAAGCAGCCGTCCTCAGGTGGAGAACAGGTATGTCGAGAAGACAGAAGAACAGGTCTGTCTTCTCGACAGACCTGTTCTTCACCTGAGGACGGCTGAGGACGGCTGCTTGCGTTGTGGCCGAAACGTCGTGAGAATTATTTTATCATTTCCATTCTACGTGACTTTACCGAAAGAACCAAGAAGATCAGCTGTGAATGTCGCTTGGCGGTGGTGAAAACGCTGCGCTGTCGTTGTTGTTGTTCCACAGGGTGGGAAAGACGCACGCACCCGGCGTACGCTGCTGGCCGCTCAGCAGACGTTCGTGGACCGCATGGTGCAGCTCATGAAGGCCGTGCAACGCGAGAGCGGCAATCGCAAGAAGAAGGTTTGCTCGTGGCGCGTGGGGGAGGGGGGGGGGGGCCATGTGAAAAAGAGCTTCATAGCTCATCGGATTTCTCCAGGATAAAAAAAAAAGATTATGATTCTATGGCGGGGAGAAGGGGGGGAGGGACATAGCTCCTTGGCTTGGCGTACTTGTTGGGGGCAAATGATAGACCCCCTACCTGCCACCAAAAACCCTTTTGGATCCTGCTGGGGGAGCGGGGCGTAGACCTGCAGCCCTGCAATTGCTTGCTCACGTGTGACTGCTGGCAAATAGGCCTCCACTCAAAGGGAGTTACGAAGAGCGCCTCGAGATGCTATGTTTCGCCTACTCTTCCAGCGCTGGCCAGATGTCTCGTAAAGAGGCTGGAAACACATCACACTTTGCCTTCCATCCCCGCTTCTCCAAATTCCTTCTTAGCAAGCCGGGCGCCGTAGCCCCGATTCAAGTTGCACCGCCGACGCACTTGGTAGCCTGCCGCCGCCGTCGTCGTCACCGCTCACGTGAAGCGACCACGTGCGCTAGCAAAGCCACGCGGCCAGATGGCCGTTGACCGCAAGGTGTGGCCGATGCCTTGCCGGCCTTCATAGATGCTCGTTAACAGCACTTGCCCCAACAGTCTGTTGAAGGCTAAATGATGGGGGGCGGTGATCTTTGTCTTTGGAGCAGAGGGCAGGGCCCCGAGAGCGGATTCCGTCTTTTTTTAATCGCGAAGGTGTCAGAAAAACTCTTCTGGGATCGACGCGCGCTGCTTCTCAAAATCGAGTGATTGGTGTCTGAGGCTCGCCGGTTCGGATTTTATCCCCGTTAGGAATTGGTCCATAACAGCTATTTCTAAGAATAACGATCAAAAGTGTTTCAAGCTTAAATTTGTTTAAACTGTACGTTACGTTTACTTACTTGATCTATAATGTGCACCGTTATCGTCTTTGAAACCCTTGTCTTGTTATTGAAGTTTGTTTTTGTTAATATGTGTGTCTTATGTCACATATAAGATATTTATAACCAGGTGAGAGTCCATTGAGACTACACATCTCTTTTACAAGGGAGTCCTTTGTTGCAAAAGCAAATAGAAAAGCAGATCCTGAAAAACATGCATGCGGGAGAGTGCAACATGTCACAAATGAATTCCTAAATTAAATGAGATAGAAGTTAAACATTTTATAAGTGAACAATTTTAACACATCGACAATCGGAGCAAGACGCATCCTTTGGTGAGCAGAAGGCAATGATCAGAAGCATGTGTTTGTAGGTGTGGTGGGGAGCGGTGGCGCAGTGGTTAGCGTACTGTACTACAAATCCGGTGACCCGAGTTCGATTCCGATTCACGGCATATACCAGTAACGATTATCTGAACCGGTCCTGGGCCTCCCCTTGGTTGACTCGGCCTTTGATAAGTTACTGGTGCGATGTGTAAACATCGCCTATGGGGAAACAAAGGCTGCTGGGCTTAGCGCTGGCCACCCACCCCCTCGTGCGCTGTGCTGATTTGAATAGGTGTTCGCTAACAGCACTTGCCCGGACAGTCTGTTAAAGCTGTGCGTGCGGTGGTTTGTTGATTCACACACTACATTACGAATCCTGCAACCTGGGTGTTATTCGCAGTCATGGATAACATTCGTCGCAAGTGGTGCCTCAAACTTTCGTGAGTCTCACTTAGATTGACTCAGCCTTCAAAAAGTTCCTCGTACAGCGTATAAACATCAGCACTGGAGAAATAAAAGCACATGTGTGCATGTTTGCATGTGCACGTATATGTTTCAGTGGCATAGGGTAAGTCTACTCATATTGGGAATCTCCTAGGTCGAGTTGGCTGTGACATGAATGCCTGGTACAAGGTGTAAGCATCGGCACTGGGGAGACAAAGGCCACAACCGCTGGTCATGGTGCTGGCCCACACCGCCCCTTCATGTGCCGTGCCGGTCTTAGTAGCCGCTTGCCAACGACGCTCGCAAATCCTTATTCACAAGGCTGCTGAAGGCATTCAAATCGCGAATTGGGCACAGACGTCGCTCCAAATTGTAACATTCACTTTTTTTTCGTATCCTTCCGCGGTATCAAATTACGTTTACAAAAAAAAGGGGGGGGGGCAGGAAAACTATTCGTGCGTGCGTTCATTCGCGTGGCGCGTGCACATGTGTCTGTGTGCGTGTGTATGCATGCCTACATACACATGTTTGTGTGCGCGTGTTTGGGTGTGCGTGCGATTGTGCGCGTGTTTGCGTCGTGACTTCAGATCGAGCGGCTGCAGTCCCTGCTGGGCGAAGCCGAGGCCGGAAGGGGCAGCTTCCTCACCTTTGACCCCATCCCTCTACCCCTGGAGCCGGAGGTCAAAACCAATGGCGTCATCCCGGAGAAAGCCACGCTCTTCAAGGTGCGGCGCTGGGGAGCTCACGCTGAGACGGCACGGCAGTTCCCCTCCGGGTGCTCTCACTCGGCCACAAATGTCTCGGCGTGCGAATTAAAATTTAATGAAAATTTTTGGGATGTTCTCTGTCTACCTACCCTCGAGTGAGTGTGTGTATTGAGAGAGAGAAATGTTTTCCAATCTCCGCTCAGTGAATTCGTCATCGGCTGGGTATCCCCTTCTGCCTTGACACAGCCCTTTGTTGCTTTTCTCGTGCTGTGGCATTCTTAGTGAACTCCCGTTGAACAACTTTGAGCACTTTTGCGCCTGGTGCCACCCGTTTTGTTTCTGTAGCCATGTTCACATCGTGGCACTCGTTATGCCCTTAGACCCTTGTGCTGTCGTAATGAACCTGGTGTTGCAAGGGACCCCTGCATGGTTTATTGATTTATTTAAGCCATTCATTTCTGAAAACATCTAACAGCTCCGTTGTCAACATAGTTCAATTCTTCGTCCCAAAGCGGAACGCAAAGATGGGGATTTAATCTGCGCACGCAATGTGCGAATTGACAGGAGTAAAACGTACTGTCCACCAAAAAAAATCCACGAATTATACACACCATGCAAATGTTTACCTTGTGTCAAAGTAAACAGCTTTGACTGGAACATTGTGTTTGCAGTCAAATTTATCCAAAGTAGGTCCGTAGATTAATTGACCACATTGCTGTTTGATTTTTTTGTACATTTTTAAATGGACGCGTGTGTGTTTACTAGTAAGGTTTGTCACGTAAACAAAACATACCAATGAGTTACTAAATTTCGATTTAAAGCTTTCGTGACTGCAGGGATTAATATTCTTGGTTCTTTCGGTAAAGTAATGTAGAAGGGAAATAATAAAATGAGTTACTAGTTCAGCACACCGGTGTGTTTGAGAGTAAACCCACAACATTCACAATTCGAGTATGATATTTCGCCGGTAATTACAACCAGCCTCATCAGGCGACAGCCTAGAATTGTGGGTAAAACCTATTTCAGTCTTCAATAGAGGGGGCGGGTAAATGTGATGTCATCACTTTGAGCCACTCAGGTGCGAATACCAGAGGGTCGGGGGTTAATGCCGTCCCATAATTTACAATGGATGTCTATTATTAGTTGGGTTATTCACAGTTAATCAACGTACATAACGTCTGAAAATTACGTTCCAGTATCTTGTGACCTGTGCCCTCCTCCCCATCCCGTCGCGCGCCCGTTAAGAGCGCGCTGATGCCCGCCAAGCTCATCTTCCGCACGACGGACGGCGCCGAGTACCCCGTGATCTTCAAGCACGGAGACGACCTGCGACAGGATCAGCTCATCCTGCAGATCATCTCTCTCATGGACAAGGTACCCACCCCCGTTCTCTTTCCGTTCCTCACCTCCTCATCTTCCTCCTTCCTTCTTTCTCAGCTTCCTTGAAATTATTATCCTTTGCTCCTTCCCTCCCTCACCCTTTCCTCCCCCTCTTGTTCTCTCCCCCGCCATTCGTTACCGCCTCCTTCCTTCCCTTTCTCACCCCAACTTTCTTCCTTTGTTGTCACTCCTCTTTTCTCCTTGGCACCTTTCCACTTTTACACTCTTCTCTGAGCCTCCGTGTGATATTACGCGCGTAACGGCAATGCGATTTTCACCCACGCGTCGCCAACAGCTCCTGCGTAAAGAGAACCTGGACCTGAAGCTGACGCCATACAAGGTCCTTGCCAGCAGCACCAAACACGGTAAACGCTTAGCGGCATCGCAACAGTTCAAAACTCTTGTTGAACTGGCATCCGTATACACACCTCGTCGCCACGAATCGTGTTCCGTTTTGCACGTACAGCCTTCTGTGAATCCACTGCTGGATGAGGGCCTCCCCTACACCGAGCGGGTCGTGGTTGGGATGCTTGACCCTATCTGTCGTTCCGTGCGGATTTGCGAACGCGGAGGGCGTAGACACGCGAGCATAGACGTACCGCGTACAAAATATAAAATTACTGCACTTGCATGCGCTGTCTAACGTGTGTTGCCATATCAAATTATGAAAACATACGACGTGCGTGGCGCGATTGCAGCGTTCCTCGCGTAAACGAGCAACGAGTGAAAATATAAAATGAGCGACATGAAAAGCGCCACCGCCTTCGTGACCGCCAACGTTATCCGGGCCCTCGTGAGTGTCGTCGCCGATTCTGCCGACGTTTCATTCCCCCGGGCAGGTTTCATGCAGTTCGTGGAGTCGGTCGCAGTGGCAGAGGTCCTGGCTTCAGAAGGATGCATTCAGGTTTGTTCACGGCACCCAGGTAGTTTCGCATCGAGTGGCGCCAAATCGGCGCGTACCTCCACCCCCCCACCCCCCCTCCTGGGTCGCGCGCCCTCCTTGGCCTTGTAGGTGGGCGCAGGCTGCGGCGTGGATACCGTGCAGGAGGAGTTACGAATAAAGGGCTTGGTAGCCCAAGTTTTCAAGGGCGCCACTGTGTTGAGACAGTGGTGCCATCGTGGCGAGGAGATGTTAACTACCTCGCCTGGTATACAAAAGGACGTGGCTTCGATCCCGACCCTGACGACTGCTGTGTATTTGGAGTTTACGTGTCTCTCTCTCATCATCATCACGGTGGCTAGGAGATGTTAACTACCTCGCCTGGTATACAAAAGGACGTGGCTTCGATCCCGACCCTGACGACTGCTGTATATTTGGAGTTTGCATGTCTCTCTCTCCCCGTGGTCGCGTGAATTTTTCTCCGGGTGGTCCAGTTTTTCCCCTCCACATTTAGAATCAACATGCGTTTTGAGTATTTGAACCTTATGGGGCGGGACCCCCAGGGTCCCATTAGCCCCCCGGCTCTCGCATAAACTGCGTTGCGACATCATTTTATGTCTGTCTCGACGAGCTCGACACGATGTGCTAATAAAAGTTTGTGACTACGGCATGACAACGACTACGACATGACAACAGAATAATCTGCGCCCGGTGGGTCGCGGCGTTTATGTGCGCGGCGGGATGGAGTCGCCAAAAATAAATTAATTATTCGGGACCCCGGGGTCCCGCCATACGGTTAATTTGTCTGCTATAGATTTCCACGTGATGATAACCTACTTGGACGAGCTATCATTTGTGGCCAGGTCGCTTCTGATAAAGAGCTCTTCAGCTCGGTGGACCTTACATGGTAAAAAAAAAAGTTAAACTTAGGAAGAAAAATAGGTGGGCTTCGGGTAGGAGGACCACATTGCCCGAAAGGATGGGTGATGGCCAGTGGTCAGGACAAGCAACGGAGCGGTAACCAAATTTTGGAAAGCGCCCAAAGAGAATGCCCACCCCCTCCGAGATCGCTGTGTTCGAGCAACTCGCGCACACCAATCGAAAATGTTTAATTGACATCAGTGGGGGGCTTGAGGGGGTAGCGGAGGGTGGGATGGGGGGCACAGGGACGAGTTGTCTGGATTGGGGGGCTGTGCCGCCATACTGAAAAGGTTGAGACCCACTGCGCTTAAGCAGGAACGTATCAGAATGCCGCGCGCAGCGGTGTTGCCGACAGAACGTTGTTGTCAATCGCTGCGACCGATGTCTTTTGTAGAGCCTCAGATGTTGTACTCAAGTGGGCAATTAAGTGAGCAATTCATATGCATCGCTTTGACGTAGAGCTGTTTATTAGTTACAGTTTCAACTTCAGGAATGCTCGTTCGTTCGTTGCTAAATCGTTGCTAAATCCGCTTGTCCTAGTGAGGGTCGCGGCAGCAGTGAGTAGTGTTGGTCCACACCTCCCTTTCCCTTGCGACAGACTCGAGCTCTACTACACTATACACTACACTATCCACCACTATACACTACACTATACACCACTATACACTACACTACTATATACTACACTACTATATACTACACTATACTGTACACTACACTAGTATACACAGACTTCAGCTCTTTCCGAGCGACGTAGTCTCACCAGCTTGTCCTGGATCGGCCCCCCGGGGTCTTTGCCCAGTGGGACGTGCCCGGTAGAGTTCCAGGGTGAGTCTATGGGGAGGCATCTTTACCAGGTGCCCGAACCACCTGAACTGCATAAGGACACATTTACGGTGGCTACGACTTGCATGACGTGTCCGCTGGCGAGCGCTTATTGAATTGCGCCGCATTTTTTTTGCTTTAATTATGATTACCGAGTTTTTTATTTATTCATTTCTAACTGCAGCTGTTTTGTAATAACAAAGCGTAGGTCGATATCCATTTTCAGGCGTGCTCCAAAGTGACACGAAGCATATGCCTGGACGTAAATTGTGCCCTAAAGACGGGCACGAGGGTAAGCACAAACCCTGAGGCTTGAATGTGCAAATTATTGCTGTACAGTCTTCTTGTTCGCCAAAGGGACAGAAGCCCCCATCGGTCTCCAGTGCTTTTTTCAAGTAGCGCCGCGTGTTGTTCGGCGTTTCGAACCGAAACGTCGAACATCGTGCCAAGCGACACGTGCTACGCAAATGCACAGGGGTACCTATACGGTGCAGCCGTGAAAATCTACGCAATAGTACTAGCACCTCGATCGCTCACGTTCGTTCCTTTACACTCCCGCCCCCCCACCCGCAACCCCCCCACGTTGACTGCCCTGCAGAATTTCTTCAGGAAGCACGCTCCGAGTGAGAAGGGCCCTTACGGGATCAGTGCCGAAGTGATGGATACGTACGTGAAGAGCTGCGGTAGGTTCTTGCTCCTGCATTCAACCAAAGCACGTGGGAAGGCCACTTTTTTCTGTTTCTGTGAAATGCCTTTTGTTGTCGTGTCGACGGCCACTGGAAGTCAGCCGTGTCATTGCTGACAGCCATAGTGGCACATTTTCAGTTTTATTTAGGGTAGTTTTTTTGTAGGGTTATACTTTAGGAAACCTTTCAAACTCGTTCATAGGACAGCTTGTTACGTATAAAAGTGAATCATCGTACCAAGTGAACGTTGTGTTAATGGGGTATTTTACGACGTTTGTTCTGCCCTCGACAGCTGGCTATTGTGTCATAACTTACATACTTGGCGTTGGCGACAGACACCTGGATAATTTGCTACTCACCAAAACAGGTAATGTAAACTCTGTTGAAACCTTGAAATATTTGATTCCAACGTTGACATTCAGTCACAAAGTCACCCACTACCTGTCATTTTCACGCTCAAGTGGCAGAATGTCCGCCCCAAAAAATAATCCCCAACGTGTTCCAAACTCGATACCATTAGGGCATTTAAATCTAATCAGCGGTGGCAGCAGCCGCATTACAAATTGCACTTCGGCACATTTGCTCTGCTCGCACGCTCACTCTGATCCCTCGTGATCCAAGCTCCAACGTAAACCAAACTTAACCATTTTTTTCATTTTACCAGACAAGTCAAATTCTCTTTGTAAATACAGCCGATGGCGCTGATGGCGCAGCATCATCGTGCGTTGTCAGGAGTTGAAAGAGCTCGCTTCGTTGATTGATGGGAGCCCACCCGGGGCCCAAAGCAACGGGCTCATCGGAGCCGTGCGTGCGTCGTGCGTGCAGGAAAGCTTTTTCACATCGACTTCGGCTACATCCTGGGCCGCGACCCCAAGCCGCTGCCGCCCCCGATGAAGCTCAGCAAGGAGATGGTGGAGGGCATGGGAGGCATGCAGAGCGAGCAGTACCAGGAGTTTCGCAAGCAGTGCTACACGGCTTTCCTGCACCTGCGCAGGTACGCCGTTCCCACAGTCATCCCCCACCTGCCTCTGCCCTGCCCCCATACCAAACACCGTGCAGTGCCCATCATCATCATCACCCCCCCCCCCGCCGTACCAGGTACATTCAGGGGTGGAGTGCCCCGGAATCAACCCGACTCCTTGACAAAACAACATTATTTCCAGGAAGACCAAATTTAGCCCATTCATATGTATGTAAGTTTAACTTCTTTCGTACCTTCCGCAGCCAACCATGCTCATCAGAGGTGGGGCCGAGGTTGAATGACAACAAACGAAACACAATCAGTTTCCTGCTTTTTTTTTTTACATTTTAACAGATCTCTACGTTGCGGAAAAGCGAATGTTTCACGCCCCTCCGCTGCGGTGTCGTTTGTCGCGCAGGTACGCGAACTTGATTCTGAACCTCTTCACGCTCATGGTGGACGCCAACATCCCCGACATCGCCCTGGAGCCCGACAAGACCGTGAAAAAGGTGAGGTGACCGACGTGCCGCCGAGAGCTCCGCACGTCGATCGCGCAACACAACGCGAACCCAGGGCGCCACGGTGGCGAGGAAACGTTAACTACCTCGCTCGGTATACAGGAGGTCGTGGGTTCGATCCCAACCCTGATGCCTGCTGTATATTTGGAGTTTGCATGCCTCTCTCTCATCATCATCATTACGGTGGCTGAGAGATGTTAATTACATCGCGTGGTGTACAGAAGCTCGTGGGTTCGATTCCGACCCCGACGCCTGCTGCTGTATATTTGGATTGTGCATGTCTGTCTTCCCATGGTCGCGTGGATTTTTCTCCGGGTCCTCCGGTTTTTCTCTCCACATTTAGAATCGCCATGCGTTTAGAGTATCTCGCTGTTCTAAGCCACTTCGTTGAGCTATCATTTGTGGCCAGGTCGCTTCTGAAAAAGAGCTACATAGCCCACTCACTTCTAAAATGCGACTGCATCTCACGACGTCGTACAGAAGCAGTGGCGTGCTATGTCGGTATGCGGTGTGAGACTGCTGACCCGCGGTGGCCCATTCCTAATTTGTTCACCGTTGTAGGGGATAGCCTCCTCTTCTACTGTGCGATGTTCTGATATGGTTCAACACAGGTGGCTGTTTGTGAGATGGATCAAAACCGGGACGTTCTTCTGTGTGGTCGGCAATTGTCTTAACTCATTTTTGCTGATGCGAAAGTAAAAAAATATCACACCAATCTGCCCCTTGCCGTGACTACGTGTGGCGCTCGTGCGTGCAGGTGCAAGACAAGTTCCGTCTGGACCTCTCTGACGAGGAGGCCGTCCACTACATGCAGAGTCTGATCGACGAGAGTGTTGGGGCTCTGTTTGCTGCCGTTGTCGAGCAAATTCACAAGTTTGCTCAGGTGAGAACCCACCCCGCCCCACCCCCAATCCCCCATCGTCCCGCAACCCCCCCACCCGTCCCTCCCCCACCGACACCCCCCCCCCCCCCCCCCACTGGGCTCACGTCCACCCTGGCAAACACTCCAGGGGCGCTGCGGTGGCGAGATGTTAACCATCTCGCCTGGAATACAGGAGGTCATGGGTTTGATCTTGACCCTGACATCTGTAGCTTTAAGGTTTGCATGCTGTTCCCATGGTCAAGTGGATTCTCTCCGGATCCTCTGGTTTTTCCATCCACATTTAGAGAAATGCATTGAGATAATTTGGCTGCTATAAATTTTCACGTGATAAGCCACTTCGTTGAGCTATCATTTGTGGCCAGGTCACTTCTGAAAAAGAGACAAAAGCTCAGTGGGGCCTTACTTGATAAAATAGAAATCGTTTAACAGTTAGGTTTTTGTTGTTGCAGTAGCTGTGTTGACGATCACAATGTCACTTGGATTGTTAATCCGCAGTAGCAGCTGTTTGTGACATTAATTACGAAAATCCAGTGTCCGCTAATTCCTTGTCTTTATCTCCTTTAACTTTTTTGCAGTATTGGCGGAGGTAAAACGTTACCTGGAACAACGCTATCTTCGCGGGACACATCCACGCTGCATTTCCAGGCCAATTTAATAATCACACCCCATGCTGATTTAAAAAGTACTTCACCGGTTCGCTTTAATTTACTCCAAGCCATGCCACTCGGGCCCACGGGAGCGTGAAATTGCTCCACAATTTTTCTACGCTGGGAAAATGGTTTAAAAGTTAGCATGTTAAACTGGCAGGAATTGCATCCGATGACTCACTGTACATTTGCCATCCGTTGTTTGTTTTTATATTGTCATTTTTTATGTTCAAGAGTGTTTGAATTAACTCCCGTATCTACGATAGGTACTCTCAAGTTATTCATATAGTCGTCACCGACGCGCTCTGGAGGTCGACGTTGGAATACCGTTCCAGTGGCCAGCAGGCAGGAAACTCACCTCATGCATCTTTATTTACTTTGCATATTGATTTTATCACCACCACTTAAGTCCTCGTTTTTATGCGCTAGATGCATTCCTGAAAAGTGCTGCATTAAACGAAAAATGCATTCAGCGAAAACTATTTCTCCATGAACAATGTCATGGTAGAGTTTGGCGAGATAGCGACGTACGACTACGCACACGTAGTGAGACGGCAGGACGAATAACTGAGGGTACGCCGCCACGTTACTGTATAATTCCGCGTACTGTATCACTGTACCGCTCGGCTGCACAGCTCAAGAAAGTTCGTCGTCGACCGCTCAGAAACTGAGTTGTAACAGTGCACGTTCCGTATGATCACAACGGCGTGTAACTTGTTATAACGGTGCGCTTTCTGCGTTACAACAGCTGGCGCTTTCCGAGTTGGGCGAAAAGTGATCTCTTTTGGAAGAGCCACGTTATGGAAAAAACGCGTTGTGTGAATGTCACGCGTTAAGCGAGGACTTACCGTACTTTAGGGGTAGCAGCTGCCCTCACCCAATCCCCTTACCCCCACCCATGTGACCTCCCCGTGGCCACGTTCTTCGGTGTTTTAAGATCACTGTTCAATGCGACGGGAACTTTTTGTCAGCTCAGCGAAATGCATTTGCAAAAAAAAATTCTGGCATTAAGTTGAGGTCCCCATGGTGCCGGTCACTGGAATGGTGTTCTAATGTCTACGTCCCGCGGGTGTTTGGCAACCACTTATTAAAAACAGCATAGTTAACGTGAAGTATTAAAATCTTAGTTTTAGTTAATTTCATGTAAACATAGTATTATCTTTATCAGAGATTACACGTGGCCAAACTTGTCATTATGTAGCGTTTAAATGACACATTGCCACATCGAGTGCAATTGTTACCGCGGCTGGACTACAGTGGTAAACAGTGCGCATGCCCGTAAACAATGGTTTGCGTGTGTTCCAGACATCGGGAAAAAAGTCGTTAGTTATTATCTCGAGTGGCTCTTTTATATTTTGCATCAATAAGATGCTACAGCTGTGCAATGGTTCACGCTCTAGACTTGAAACCCAAAGGTCCACTGGTTCGGTTCCATCTCCCGGCTTGGCAGTTGAAATGACGGGGCAAGCTTCTTAAATCCCTCCACTGCCTTCGTCCACCCGGCAGTGTTAACGGGTGCAACCACAGTTAGTCGATCCGCGGGGCGCGTGTGGTGGGGTAAAGCGTGGATACTCCCCATCTCTTTGAACTTCTTTCGTACCGTACATCGCCAACCGTAATAATCTGCGACGTCTGGCCAGCGTGGTAGAGTAGGCCAAAAATACTCTTCGACGGGGGGGGGGGGAGGTAGCCCTCTGAAGATTCCTAAAGCGATTCCTCTAGCGCTTCTGCCAGCAGTAGCACGAGCGAGCAAATGGAGGGTCGCTCCTTTGAATCCTTTCCCGTTCCGATGACATACGTATGCGTACGTGTACGTCATCAAAACGAAGAGAAAAAAAACTACCGGTATCGATGCTCCTACAAGGCCATGCGGGAGGGCGAGTGGCGTAGTTTAGCACCAGTTGTGAAAAGTGCGGTCGTGTTGCAACAGTTATCTGTGGTGTGAGTACAGTGTCTTTACAAACAGCGGCGCTATGCCTCTAAAAAAATATAATGTTGAGTCGCTTGTGTGTTCCGAGATTTGTAGGTGAACGGGACCCACCCTGCAGCTTTCATGTCGGTGGACATCGTATTTGCAGCAAGCGGAAATCGACATTTTGCTAAAGTTAACTTACAAATTACGTGGTTTTAAAATCTAAAAAACTGTACAGCAATGTGAACGCTTTCATATAACGATTTCATCATTCAGATTGCGAATTTGAGATCTGCTAATCACTAAATAGGTCCAACATAATTGAATTATGAAGCATAATTTAATTCGTAATTTACAGCAAGGTCATCGCACAGCTGACATCTGCCACATGTGTGCGCGTGCGTGCTTGCGCGTGTGTAAGTTACATCCTTATTTGTCCAGCATCAATAAAGGGCCTTGATGCCGTTTCAGCAATGCTGTCGTTGTGAACACGGTGTCCTAGCAAGTTACGCAAACATTCAAATTGGTTGTGCCTTTTCTTCGCCTCTGTGTGGGGGGGGGGGGGGGACTCTGCCCCCTGCGATAAAAACTTCGTGTTTTATTGTGCCGTCTCCAAAGTAGCGGCGATCCAACGTGTTTCCATGGCAGGTTCCGTTTGAACAGGCGGTTTTTACTGCCTCCTTGTCTCTTGATTCTTCGTCTTCTCGCTTGCTTCCTTGCTTGGTTTTAAAGTGTTTGTCTCAGCTCCGTTGAGACTTTTTTTTTCTTTGTTACTTTTTGAATCGCGAACCAATTGGTTAACACGGGGCCTGCGGAAACTCGCCTAATGCGGTTGTTAAAAAAATATCCACCCGTGAGAATGTCTTCATGTTCTCGAGGCCGGCTATTTTAAAGGCGTCAAATACAGCTGGCCTAGAAAGGGGGGGGGGAAAGGAACTTCTTAGTTGAGTGGTTAAAAAAAAAAACTCAAGTGAGAACAAAGTTGATAGTTGTAAGTACATGTCAATAAATTAGATGTCTTACCAACTGCGCTAATAAAATACAAATACCTTTGCCCTGACCCAGTGGACTTTTGCCAATAGCTGCGGTACCTGGGCCTCAATAAAATAATGGCTACTGTCAACTTGTGACATAAATGCGCGTGCGCATAACTTGTGCAAACGGGTAGCTAAAATTTAACCTGCGAATTCATATGGGGTGGGGAGGTAATTATTCTTTTATTATCGTAAAGTGCTTGGGGTGGGCGGAGGAGGGTTTTTGGCGATGACTTTACCAACTCTCCTGTTCTGCGCCCTTCTTATAACGCCTCGCGTTTAACCGTTGTAATTTTATCTTCGCACAATAATCACTCTTTGCGAGCAATTCTTAAGACCGTTTTTATTGTATTTCTTTCGGGGGGGGAGGGGATGATGCCGCACAAGGTGGCGTGGTGTTGGCGTGTGTTTCTCTGGGCACTTTGCTGCTGCGTGACACCTATCTGGGGACAAGATGCAAGTGAGTACTGGCGCACGTATCTCGCTTGTGCGTTTCGTACGGTGTGTGCAAGTCAAAGCTCTTGCGTTACAGTTTGTGACAGCCGTATACAGGCGACTGTCATTCGTTGCCTAAATGGACCGGCGCCCAGGGTCACCTTTGAAATTTCAAATCGAGGGCCGATGTATATTTCATGGTCCGCCGACTCTCAATCTGCGTTGTCGGCTATTGTCATATTGTTATATATGTGATGGCACGGGGCTTCATGTGACACGTTGCAAGTCTGCTCCGACGCGCAACGTGTAAGCCTGAGAGGTCTCCTCTATCTCTCTCCAGCCTCGACTGAGTCGTGTCGATATTTCTCTCGCCACATGTGCGTGATGATCGGGGGTTTTTTGGAGGGGGGGGGTCTTCAATCGACTGGCTTTGTTTTGACGCACGCGCGCACGCTGCGTTTCAGTTATTTCGGCTTTTAGTTTTCCAGTTTAAAACATTTATATATCGGCCGGCTGAGCGTTATGCTGGTGTTATTGTCAAGGTGGAGCCCTGCAATTTCTTGTCCATGCCACCGCTGGCAGAAGGGCCTCCACGCTAGAGGGAGCTCTAGAGGGTAGTTGGCCTACTCTTCCACACTCGCCAGACATCGTGGAGTAGGAGTACCCACACTTTTCCGCACTCGCACACGATCCGCCGCCGATCGACTTCACTGCACTATTTATAGAAGCCCAAGAACATCGACTTTTTATTTTAGAATTCCCCATAAAGATAAAAAAAAATTACGCGAGTTTACTGTTGAAGTATTCTCCGCAGAAGCGTTCGTGTACAAAAAAAAACTCCGCAGCGAATTTCCACCCGCAAAGCCCTTTACGACCGCTAAATTCTTACCGAAGTAGGATTATGAAGGGGAGGGAGGGGGGGGACATGGTAATAAGCTGTGAAAGTGGTGGACACGGTTCTGTGCGACCCAGTCATCATCATCATCCCACTGTCGACACGCTCATTTAGAGCCTCTGCGGCTCCTTAAACTCTCCCCCTCCGGGCGCCCTCCCCTGGCCCCGTGGTGCCTCCAGCCGTCTGCCATCTGTGTTCAATCCAGAGCCGCACCGCTCGCAAGGAAATGCATATGTCCAGTCTGACGGCAATCTGTAACTGTGGTTTCATTATTACACATTACCTCCTTTATTTTGACTCCTGACCACATGAATGTTGCTGCCCTCTGATGTTCGCGGCCATTGAAGTGCCCTTGCGTTTGTGGTCTCTATTTGTAGTTTCTCTCGCAGAGGAATGCTTATTATATATCCCGTTCGGGCATTACATTACAATATATATCTGTATCCCCAATCTTCATTCCTTACATTATCTTCGAGGAGGTGGGGGGGGTGTAACGTTTATATCAAATAGTGGCATGTAAGAACGTCAATTCGTTAGGCTGTTTTCTTTTAGAAAAAAAATATATATTTCGATGTAACAAAAATCCACTCCCTCCCCCCGTCCCCATCAGTAGAAATAAAAATGTTTTGCCAATCTGCCGTAGAGCTGGACTTGCGTGATTATTTTAAATAGTCGCTCACCCTACCGAGTATTATCGATTCGATTATTTGGCGTAATTTGGATAACTCGAAAATATTTGGAAAATAAAGCCTCTCCGCTTGAATGTACTGCACGTTTAACTTCTTTCGCACCACCGTACGAGGGCGAAGGACAACAAACTAAACACAAAAAGCATTTCTAAAGAAATTAACTTAGTACAGTGGTGTAGTGTGTGTAATGTATAGTGTACTATCTATGTTGAACTTTCACACCACCGTACGTAGCCAAACCGTGCTAATTGGAGGTGCGGGGGGAAGGACAACGAAACGCCAAAAAGCAGTTCTCAAAGAAATGAGTTTTCAATCTAGATGATTTAAAAGTGCATAGCTCCAATGGCTTCGTAACATCTGAAGGAAGACCGTTTTACCCTTCCCGAGGGTTGTCTCCGACATCGCCAATCTCATGCCTAACAGATCCTCCCCACAGATCCCAACAGTGAGAGGTTTAGTGGCTGGATGATAGAGGCAATGATTTTCACTCTTCCAGCGATTTGATGAATCGTCTTAGAATTGATTTGAATCAAAAAGTCAATTCCAGTCGGGGTATTTTTTCCTTCTGTCTGGATTTGTTTTGTTTCTGCGTCCCATTTTCTTCTCTCGTTGATACAGCGTTGTTGCCTCTACAGGGACTCCTCTGCTCACGAATTAGCTCGATTCCAGAAGTCTGTTAGCAAGTAGATTTGTTCATAAGTCCAACTTTACTCCTGTCGATTCCAAACTTTGTACGGCGTGTACGCTAAACACGGGGAATGGCTTTAAAATGTGTATGTATAATCTCCTGCAGATGTAGATGGCACTGGTTCTTCATGTTCTACAGATTCAGATCCCACCACAGTGATCTATTGCGCGGTGGTTGAACTTACGACGCTTGGATCCGAACGGGGAACTAGAAATTGACAGGTTTGTTCGTATCTCTGAAAGTTCGTAATTCGAATGTTCGTAAGCAGAAGAGTTCCTGTATCACCCGACTGATAATACGACGTTTAAAGAAAACCAATCCAAGAAATACCTTCAAATCCAGCGTATCGAAGGGCGACTGTTGGGTCGATGAGAGTTGCCCAACTCGAAGCAGACGACGTCTTACAATTGGGAGTGTAAGTGGCAAGAAAAATGTTCCCCAGCAGCCAAACTACACTAAATGCAACTCATCAAAGATTCCAGTGGGAGAAGTGGTCCAACGAAGCCGTTCCGCGTGGCTGCCCTTGTTTTAATTGATTTCTGAGTTTGCGCCACGCTCGTGCACAAGGAATGTGCGTGCTGCCACGGGGGGTTTCGCAATCACGGCAACGCAAGGGAGGTGCACATACGAGGAACTTAAAGCGTAACATTTTCACACGTTTAAACTTTGCACTCGCCTGATAATCATATTCATGATGTGCTGGCGCGTTGTTGTGTGGCTTATCCTTGAACAGTTGCCGCGCGCGTGTTTTTTGCACGCTTTCGTGATCTCTTGGATTATTAAACGCATTATTTGGCGACACTGCTGTTGTGTTGGCAGCGGTGCACACGCACAATTAGCCATCGTTCTATTTTTTTTTACTGCTTGTTTTTTCGTAACTTTGTCACCCCGTGCTCCTACTCGACAACTGTGAAAACGAGCTTCATAGCTCATCGGATTCCTCCCGCATGAACATTCTGATTCCGCATCATGGGATCTCCTTTGCCAGTACCAAAATATGATAATAGGGTTTTCCCCTTTTTTCTGGCAACAAAACATGTGTTTGGTGTTTTCACATCTTAACACCTGTTTTGTGGCCAGAAAAAAAAAGAGAAAAACCTATTATCAATCTGATTCGGATCAGCTCAACACATTGGTCAAGAACTTTGGCCTTAATAGGAACACATAATAGGCGACGTTTCGGGCAATGGTCCTTGTTCATAACATTTGTGTGCTTTAACATTTCGGCCGATGTGATGTTAAAACACTTGCCAATGACACTGCCCTCTGCAGTAACCCACTTGACAGGGTGGTCTCGTGACCCCCTCCGGCCCCCAATTAATTGAGCCGAAAATTTTTTTCTTTGTATAATTATTAATATTCTTTGGTCTTTCCGTAAAGCCACGTAGATAGAAAAAATAATAATAATATCACGACGTTTCGATCGCAACACAAGCAATTGTTATATTTTTTTTCACCTGAAGACGATTACTTGTGTTGCGATCGAAACATCGTGATATTTTTATTATTTTATATCTACGTGGCTTTACCGAAAGACCCAAAGAATATGAATTCCTGCAGTCACGAAAGCTTTAAGTCAAGATTTGACTTTGTGCCAATTGCGTACACATCTGCCGTACAACACTGCCACCTCTTGGCTCAACACTGTCACGACACTTTTGAATGTTGAGTTTAAAATCCTATTCAGAATCAGAATTATTTCTAACTGGAGGAATCCGATGAGCTATGCAGCTCATCTTCACAGATGTTCACTATTTTTCACAGATATCCAGTAGTTTCGCAAATGTCGAGTAGATGTCCTATCCGAGATGTCTTATTTGATGTATTACAGTTACAGGGATGATCTGGTTTTAGCTCGCTTCCCAGCTATATGTTGCACGGGAGATCCGTGGGAACGTGAGCACAGCGCCAGCAGCAACACAAACAAAAGGCGACGAGAAAAAACGATGAACAGTCCCCAAGTCGAGTACAAGGTCCGAAGGAACATTGCACAATACTATCAAACGGCGAACAATTATCACATGGCATTGACTTCCGCTTTAACAGCAAAGACATTCACACTTCAGAGTGGGCTGATTCGCCCCCCCCCCCCTCAGCCTTGGCGATTCCAAGAATTATCACGATTCACGGTCGTAATTTTGTTCCAAGAACCGGTTTCAGTGTTTTTATTTTTTACAGGGGCAGGAACGAAAATGTACTTATATTGAACCTCTTTCGCACCGTACTTAGCCAACCGTGCTAATCGGAGGTGCGGGGGAAGGACAACAAACTAACACACACCCCAAAGTATTTCTAAATAAATTAGTTTACAATCTAGTTGATTTAAAAGTGCATGGCTCCAATGGCTTCGTAATATCTGAAGAGCGTTCCAGACGGCCGCAGAAGCGCACCTGAAAGCGTGCGATGAGGTGACCGCCTTTGCTCGATGGCTTTCAGCCAAAAGCCGTTGCGAGGATGAAAAAATCTCGCCACCCCTCCACTCCATCCCGTCCCTCCCCTACCCTTTCGTGACCCCTAAGTACCATCCATCGCGGTCACTCATTGCTCGACACTTGCACGCCCCTTACCATCTAAATCAGCCTGCCACCATTCGTTCTATGTAAAGCACCTTCGGCGTGAGCGTTCTATAAATATAAAATTAGATCACGAGATATATCATCTGAAAACAATAGAATTGCAGTTTAACACGTAGCACGCTTTCGCGTCTAATATTATTCATAATAAAGGTTTTTTGGGTTAGATCGCGTAAGTACAAATGTGTCGTAACCCTACACCACCCGACACAGCCAGGAAGGTTTGTCACCTAACCAACGCGCCAATTAGTTATGACTTCAGCTCACCGGTGTGCTGGCGAGTAAATCCACAACGCTTTACAAGCATCGCTGGCTGCGTCGGGTGGTGGAGGGTTACGGACACATTTATACTTACACGATATAACCGACAAACCTTAATTTATCATTAGAATTGCAAACCAACAATCGCCGTTGGTCGGTCGCGCGCGCGCGTGGCACCGCAGTTGTGTTTGGCGAGTAAATCCACAACGTTTACAAGCCTCGCTGGCTGGTGTCGGGTGGTGGAGGGTTACGAACACATTCTTTGGTTCTTTCGGTAAAGTCACGTATAAAGATAAAATAATACATTAAATAATAGCATACTACGACGTTTCGATTGCAACACGAGCAATCATCATCATCAGGTATAAAAGAAATAGCAACAAAAATATAACCAGAAAACTATAGACAGACATATAAGCAGACAGACATCATGAAGATACACAGAGAGAGAACACGTATCGGCACAAAGAGAGAGGTCGTCTCTGTGACGGGGCCTTAAATATAGAGGGGGCAGGGGCGGAGAGAGGGAGGGGGCAGAGAAAAAATTAGCATGTCAATGAGTGGACAACAACGTGGTACGGTACGCAAAATTAAGATAGGTTACGGACACATTTATACTTACGCAGAAGTCGCCGAGTGCAGGCTGCCCCGCGAGCAGCACCCCCGTGTGACGGACAGCGCGAGGAGCTCCCTGCGTTTCGCCTACGACGGCTCGAGAGACTCGTGCACGCTCGTGTGGGTCGCGGCGGAGGCGACGTTGACGATGTTGACCACCGCCTCCGCTCCGCCGCGGGACAACGCGTCTCTCTTCACGTCGGACCGCGCGTGCATGCGCAGCTGCTCGCGCAAGGGCTCCGTTCTCTACCCGACGGGAGGTGAGGACCCCCGGGGGTCAGTGCCCGATCGTATTATCGGAGGAGCAAAAAGTAGCTACGTATGTTGCTACGGGCCCCGCACTTTCAAGGGACCGCCGCGCTAAATGCTTTCAAGCTATCAATTTCGGTTCAGTGATTTTGCGCTTGCTCTATTACAATAGTACTATACTGCCTTCAACTTTTACGAAAGAGTGGGTGTTTAAGGTTCGCGATTGATCGTATTACCTGGCTGTATGTCAAATGAAAAAAAAAATTACTATGCAAGTAAAATTTTTATGTTTTTAATATTTAAGTGTTTTTTTTTATTTAGGGCCCCTTTATAACAAATGCTGCAGGCCCCGCACGAGCTTAATCCGGCACTGCCCGTGGGTGGTGGTTGGCCTGCCCGAACGCCTGATCCGGCACCCGATCCTGGTGTCCGTGTCGCGTGTGGCCTGCCCTGCCGGGTGGAAGAGTCTTGCGTGTGTTGAGCCAGTCCTACTGAGGGTATGCACTCCCAGAAGGCCGTACGGCTCATGGGATGTGTTAAACAACTTTTTTAAAGCGTAGGAGGCGAATTATATCCCTATTTATGTTGCTACTTGTACGCTGTTGTCTCCATCTCTATTCTCGCCACACGTGATGTTATTGTACGATATATGTTTTAAGTTTTGCTGGCTGCGCGGCTAGAGGAATGGATGGATGGACGGCCACGTCCAACGCACGTGCGGGCTTGCTAGTCTCACGAACAAATATTGCTCTATAGTCTTGTACCGCCGCTGGGTAGACGAGAAGGACTGACTACAAGTGCCCATAGTTCCTACTGCGCCGTTGCTTCGAGAGTTAATTCTGGAGGCACGTTCAGGTGCTCACGCTAAAGGTGCAGCCCTGCAATTTTTCACTCGCGCCACTGCTCAGCTGGAGGGAGCTCTAAAGAGCCCTTCCAGATGGTATTTTGGCCTACGGGGTCGTCCATAAATGACGTCACGCAACTAGGGGGGGGGGGTCAGACATTTGTGACGGGTTTGAGAAATGTGACGTCACATCAAAATGCGCAACTTTAAATAAATATAGAATTGTTATAACAACACTAATTGTTATAACAACACTCCTACATTTCGATTTAAAGCTTTCGTGACTGCAGGGATTCATCTTCTTGGTTCTTTCGGTAAAGTCGCGTAGAATGGAAATAATAAAAATATAACATAATAAAATACTTCTCACGACGTTTCGGCCACAACGCAAGTAGCCGTCCTCAGGTGGAGAACAGGTCTGTCGAACCAAGAAGAACACTCCTACGACATCAGAGTGCAGCGCCACATTAAATACGCACTACAATGACAATAGTTTAAGCGATTTGAAGCATGTTTTATTTTCAAATTGTAAATATGGTTGGGGGGGGCAGAGCTTTGTGGTGTCATATTTGAGGGGGGTCTGACTTTTTGTGACGCCGTGTGACGAGGGGGGGGGGGGTCAAAAATCGTCCAAAATCGCATGACGTCATTTATGGACGGCCCTACTCGGCCACCCGGGTGCAGTGGTCAGGTTACTGGGGATCTGCGGACAGAGAGCTCACCACCGCACAACTGGTTTTGATTGCTAAGAACCATCACGGTTAGGCGTATACTGTGAAGTGTTCTATCACTCCTCGAGTACATTTTGTACCAAATTAGTCTTTTCTTCGTGTCGAACATTTGTAAAGAGGAGATTTGTGTCGTCAAGGGACAGGAGTTGAGTCTGGTAAAGAGGGTGCAGGGCCACTTAGTGTCTTATGAGTAGAAAAAAAACAGGGCGTTAAAATATACGCACTTAAAACAGAACTGACAGCCAATATAATGAGCCCAGAATTGGAAGAGTGTGGACGGATTTCTGAGATTTCATTAAAGCTCTGACAAGCAGTGGCACTCGGTGCAGTGTATCACCAGGGATACACTGCCCTCTCACATATTGCAGTAGGAGAGGACCGGCATTGCCAACAGTCAGCTCGAGATGAACTGCAGAGTTGAAACTTTTTTTTGGCATCAGAAATTTCGACTGGAGATATGAGTATTGGCAGTATTTTTTTTTTCTTTGATCGGAAGGGTGGTGGTGGTGGGGGTGGGAAGCGGAGACCTCGGTCACGGAGATATGGACCTGAAGGAGGAGGCGTGGGATGAAAAAAAATGACTCCACGGCTTTGCTAACTTCTATTTTTGTTCGGGCGACAACGGTAGTCGATGACGAAAACTTTGAGAAAGTTTCAGGTTGTGAAGTTTAATGTCTGGAGCCCGGTATAATTGCATTTTTCTCTTCTTGTGAGTTTAACTCGTCCGCGAGTTTGAAATCTGTGTTGCTGACAAAAATAGACTTCACAATGAAGTTCTAGTGTGCTTCAATTGCACTCCGGTGGTATCACTGCATTGGCATTGCATTGCAACGTATGGTTAATGATTTCACAGTGATGTCACTAGACAACTATGATTTACCTGCCCGCGCTGGCCTTAACCCTTTTCCTGTTCTGAGACGTCTGCAAGTTGCAAGGTGGGTGTCCCGTTTACCGCTGAATCTCGGAGCGCGGTTCACGTAAATTTTATTTAGAGAGGCGTAGCACCAATGTTTTAAAGACATTATACTCACCGCAGAGAACCGTAGCGACACGACCGCACTCTATGATAGCTGGCGCCAAACTGTGCCACACTGCCTCCCGCATGGCATTGTGGGAGCCTCGATACCGATCAAGTTATTTTAGTTTTTCTTCTGATTCCGTTTCGATGACGTCATCGGAATGCATTGGGAAGATAAACTGCTGACGTGCGGGTACGTCATCGGAACGGGAAGGCTTCGTAGGCGCTCGCTAACAGCGCGTCGTCTCTGTGTGCATAGCCGAGGTGTGCTTGCTGCCGAAGGACACGGGTTCCTGCAGGGCCCACTTCCGCCTGTGGTTCTTCAACGTGGAGCGGCGGCGCTGCGAGAACTTCACCTACGGTGGCTGCCGGGGCAACGGCAATCGATTCGTCGAGCAGAAGACGTGCGCCAACGTCTGCCAGCACCTCATCGACCCTGAGATCCAAGGTTGTGCGCGCGCGCCGGCCCGCCTCTTCGCTCGCTCCTACGGCAGCGGCGATAGCTGCGATGCGGAGACTCGGCTCTCTTTTTCCTGCGGGCACAACGGAGCCGCGAGCCAGGGCCAGTGCCGAGCCAACCCGGCATGGCGCGCCTCTGGGAGGTGCCATTGTTGGTTTTATTTTCCTCCACTGCCGAAGCCGAGCTGAGCCGTGCCGAGCCGCTGACGTCACCCACAAAATGTGAACGTTTCCAAACGTCTGTAGATGACGCGGTGTGTCAGTAGGCGACCGATGTCACGCGCAACAAACGCATCTATCGCCGGGCCCATAGCTCTGCTTGGTCCCGGGCCACGTTCACATATCTCGTGAGGCCAGCGTGGGGTGGTTATGTTTTGGCTCGGCATGGCATATCGGCAGTGGAAAATCACCCGTGCCAGAAGGGCCCTGCACTGGCTCGGCTTGGATGTGCCAATGGAAAAGGGCCGACGGGCCACCCTGTGGCTTCGTTGTTATTGGGGGGCAATGCAGTAAAATATGCCGTTGTACTGTACCATGCTCCAATGTCTTGCGCCCAGCCTGAACCCGAACGAATGCCAACTAACGGGACAATCCTGAAATAGAGTTTTAAGACTCTCCGTGGCTTTCATTAATGAAACAAAAAATTAATCGCTGCTCTTGAACCGCGTGTGGCGTTTGTTGTTCACAGACAGAGCTGTTGGAGATCGTGATGACCATTACAGAGAAGGTAAGGGAACAACACCGACCCGAAAGCCGTCACAAATTCGGCACGCATTTGCCGCATCGGGTTCGTCAGCTCCTCAATTTTGCAAAGTACCATCACTCGTTCAGAATCAGAATATTACTGGTAGGAACCTCCTGGTTACACCAGGCCACAGGGGATTATTGTGTCCGTCCGTCCATCGTGCAGGGAGGGGCTGGGTGGGGAGGGGCTGGGGAGGGTGGGGCTGGGTGGGGAGGGGAGGGGAGGGATGGGAGGGGCTGGATGGGGAGGGGCTGGGTGGGGAGGGTGGGGCTGGGTGGGGAGGGTGGGAGGGGTGGGGCTGGGTGGGGAGGGGCTGGTCACCGTGGTGCCCTTATAAAACTCAACGTTTAACCTACTCACGCCGGCTTATGCCCACCCTCACAGTCGGGCATATTTGCGGAATATACCACGCCGCCGTTGACCCTGGCCATTGACCGAGCAACCCAACGTTCCTACCAGCTCCCTCCGCAGGAATGTGTTTATTTCTACTGGAAGAATCCGAAGAGCTATGAAGCTCTTTTTCACAGATGTCCAGTAGGGGCTCGTCAGAACGTTACACAGCAACAAAAATTTGAAAAAAAAACACGATAGGAGTGCAAAGTATAGGAAAGGTAAACAAATCACTTTTTTAAATATATAGATAGAACTAAACTATTCGTATCTTGCCAGGTAAGGCCCACTGGAACTATCAGCTTATTTTTCAGAAGCGACCTGGTCACAAATGACAGCTCAGCGAAGTGGCTTATCACGTGGAAATTTCGAGCAGCTAAATCATGTAAACGCACGTTTATTCTAAATGCGGGGGGAAACACCGGAGGACGCGGAGAAAAAAATATCTACGAGACCACAGGGAGAACACGAACACTCCAAATATACAGCAGCAGGTGTCAGGGTCGTGATCGAACCCACGCCCTCCTGTATACTCGGCGAGTGAGTTAACATCTAGCCACCATGGCGTCACTTTGTCCAACCCAAGCCCACGCTGACTTTTTTCTCGCCACCGTTCAACCCCTAACCTTACCACTAACCCGAACCTTCGATCGTATCACTAACCATAACCCTATCACCGATCCCACCCTCCAATCGTATCACGAGCTCTCACATCTTTAACGTCCACCACGAAGCAGACGGCGCGCAGTTCATCGCGCCGCATTAACCAGGGCGTCCGCTGAGCTGGAACCGCGAACCACCTCGTCACCACCGCTTGTCCTTCCGGCCCAGGTGCGGTAGCTGCGGCCGTGTTCGGCGCCCTGTTTGGCGTCACCGTCACCGTCATCTTGGTCGTGTTTGCCATAAAAAGGTGAGGTCCCGTCCCCCCCCCCACCCCCCCCGATGGAAAGAAATTTGTAATCTTTTTTTATTTTACCAGACAAGGCCCACTTAGCTGTTTCGCTCTTTTTCAGATGTGACCTGGCTATCACAACTGATAGCTCCACGAAGTGGCTTATCATCGTGTGGAAATGTAAATGCAGTCAAATTCTCTAAACGCGTGATGTTGATTCTAAATGTTGGGGGGGGGAACCGGAGGACCCGGAGAAAAATCCACGCACCCATAAGGAGGATACGCGAATTCCAAATATACAACAGGCGTCAGGGTCGGGATCGGAATCGATCCCACGACCTCCTGTATACCAGGCGAGGTAGTTAACATCTCCTAGCCACCGTGATGATGATGATGAGAGAGAGACACGAAAACTCCAAATATACGGCAGGCGTCATGGTCGGGATCGAACCCACGACCTCCTGCATACCAGGCGAGGTAGTTAACATCTAGCCACCGTGATGATGATGATGAGAGAGACACGAAAACTCCAAATATACGGCAGGCGTCATGGTCGGGATCGAACCCACGACCTCCTGCATACCAGGCGAGGTAGTTAACATCTAGCCACCGTGATGATGATGATGAGAGAGACACGAAAACTCCAAATATACGGCAGGCGTCATGGTCGGGATCGAACCCACGACCTCCTGTATACCAAGCGAGGCAGTTAACATCTCCTAGCCACCATGGCACCCTAACACCGAGCCTCGCCACGGCCGGGTTTTAGCCGAACAGAATGACACATTGCCCTTCTGACATCTCTCGGCGTCTGTCTGGAACAAAGCTGACACCAGCGCCGGCTAAAGAACACAAAGTGCACTCGTACGAGCGAAGGAGTTGAGAGCGAGGGAGAAAGAGAGCAGGAGTGATATTGCTGGCGCTGATGGTATCGTTCTTTTGATATCGGAGTTGGGCGCACATATCGTGATGCGTGCGAGCGTGTGACCTATTTCAATTGCCGACCATGGCTACCAACTCCGCCTTAAGTGAGCACCCAGGTGCGGTGCGTACACATCGCTACTGGGGATACAAAGGCGGCTGGAAGTGGCGTTTGCCACCCACCCTCTCGTGTGCCTTGCCGACCTCACTGCAGTTGCTTCTACAGCCTATATATTTATATATGTTGAAGTTCTTGCACACCGCGCGTAGCCAACCGTGCTACACAGAGGATATTTGTCTTTGCGTGTCTGCGGTTGGAGGATTTGCAAGTAATGGAATTTATTGTGTTTTGCTGTGTTGTTTTCAGAAAACGTAACGTCAAAACTAAGGTGTACTCAAGCCCTCACGACTATGGACTCAAGGAGGAATCGTTTTAAAGATGAAAAAAATTCTACGAATTGTTTTCCTAAAATGACGTACATGATGTATGGGGGTTATATCGAGTGATTGTCGTTGTAATCGCAACGGATCGATGGGTTGCTAAAATGCACTTGAGGAAGTTGGCATGAAAATTGTCCCCGAGGTGTTGAATAAGCGTTAAAAATGGAACGTGCGCAGTCAGTTTCGAGCTGGGAAGATGAATCGATTAAGCTCATTCATCGACGAATGATTATAATCGACTGCTTTATTTGCGGTCGATTACCCGGGATATTTTATACATGACGGCCACCCAGACTTCCTGCCTGCCGAAGGCTGGAAACCCCAGACAAGCGACGGTCAGCGTGACATGGCCAGTGATGCCGATAAGGTCACTAAGCCACGCCCGTCCCATCACCTCTCATTCCGGGAACATGCGTGGGAACAGAGGTGAGACTTTTCTTACCAGAAATATGTTCGTGTGATCAGATTCGCCACTTAATCAAACCGATAATTGGTATAGAGTGTTTTAGACTCTGAGGCTTTCTTGGATTAAGGGCGTCATTATTATGCAGTAATTTAATTTACGTTGTGGGCACAATATTGCCAATGTTCTTCTCTTTAGTGTCGCTGTACATTTTGCCTATGAATTGTCCCATTAGCTTTGCCAAGGTGGAGCACTTCATCATCATCATCAACATTGTCGTCAGCCATTATCAATCCACTGCTGGATGAAGGCTTTTCCTTGTTGTCTCCATCTCTCGGTCCTGTAAAGCACAAATCCATCCAGCACCTCCACACGAGCTGATTTAAATGCCGAGCAAATGGCAACCGTGTTTTAAAATAACTTTGGTTTTAATCGTCCGAAGTCATGGTCAACCCACTGCTGGATGAAGGCCTCGAAGCTGCCGCCATCTCTCCAACAGAAGTGCTCGGGCAACCTCAACCCACCGCGTCTGAACATCCCAGCCTAAATAAATAGCATTCGGGGAAAGATAACGATGGATTTTCTGAGACAATCTTCATCTTCAGTACAGTGCTGTACTCCATCGATTGTTGAATCTGTTTCAGGCGGCGAATGCAACGTTAAAAATTGCCATGTTTTTTAGTCTCGAACTCTTTAGGGTTTGCCCGTATTTTTCGAAATATCCAATGCAATTGTCATTGTTTTACGTGCAGTCAAATGTTGTCATGAAAGTCAGCAGGGAGACTGATTTTTTTACAATAACAAAACGTATTGTGACGTGTGTGTGTGTGACGTATGTGTGACGTACATGTGTGACGTGCGCGAGTGTGCGTGCTCTCTCCGTGTATTGATGTAAAACATTTTAAGTCGGTTGAAATCTGAGTCGCAAATTTTTTTGTTTGTTGCCGCTGCTGGTTCGTAATAAACCGACAAAGGCGTAGCCCTGCAATTGCCTTCACACGCCACGGGACCCCCACCCCCCACCACCCCCCCTCTAAGCGTCGGCCCTGTTGTAATGAAACAAACAGCGCACTTCGCTCCCCAAAGCCTCCCTTCACTGGCTGGACTATTCGCAAGGCAGACAGCAGAGGTCGGTAGCACCGCACGATAGGGAACACCACCTTCGGGGCGCCAACACTCACGAAAAGATGGCGGCCCTGCGATTGAAACTAAAAACTAAAGATTTTTGTTTTTTATTTACCAGGTAAGGCTCTTTTTTTCGAGAAGCGATCTGGCCACAAATTATAGCCCACTGAAGTGGCTTATCGTCGCGTGGAAATTCATAGCAGCCAAATGCTCTAAACGCACGTTTCTAAACGCACGTTTTTAAACGTGGAGTGGGAAAAAAACGGATAATCCGGAGACAAAAATCCACGCGACCACGTGGAGAGACGCAAACTCCAAATATACAGCAGGCGTCAAGGTCGGGATCGAACCCACGACCTCCTGTATACCAAGCGATGTAGTTAACATCTCCTAGCCACCGTGATGATGATGAGAGAGAGACAAAGTCCAAATATACAGCAGGCGTCAGGGATCGAACCCACGACCATCCTGTAGATAAGCCGAGGTAGTTAACATCTCCTAGCCACCGTGATGATGATGAGTGCGACACAAACTCCAAATATACAGCAGGCGTTCAGGGTTAGGAATCGAACCCACAACCTCCTGTATACCAGGCGAGGTAGTTGACATCTCCTAGCCACCGTGATGATGATGAGAGAGACACACCGTAATGATGATGAGAGAGACACACAAACTCCAAATATACAATATACAGCAGGCGTCAGGGTTGGGGATCAAACCCACGACCATCCTGTAGATCAGCCGAGGTAGTTAACATCTCCTAGCCACCGTGATGAAATATACAGCAGGCGTTCAGGGTTAGGAATCGAACCCACAACCTCCTGTATACCAGGCGAGGTAGTTGACATCTCCTAGCCACCGTGATGATGATAAGAGAGACACACAAACTCCAAATATACAGCAGGCGTCAGGGTCGGGATCGAACCCACGACCTCCTGTATACCAGGCGAGGTAGTTAACATCTCGCCACTGCGGCGCCCTCTGAGCTCAATGCCGATGTCTGCTGGCCGCGAGAGGGCTTTAGGAGCGAGAGAGTTCGCGTAGTTTTTACTGCCTGTAATAAATTGCACATTGACATTGAACTATCGATACACGGGTAAAGAAGACAGTTACAAATCACATTGGCAAATGCAGTTGTACCCAGCACTAATCGTCTGTCTGTGTTGTCATATAAACTCGGGCCGTGGTGGAGTGCGAGGTGAGTGTCTGACAACGGTCAGGTGAGTGTCACGTGTCACATCACACCGTCCGCATAAATGACTCGTACAATCACAAATGCCTGAACACATTGTACAATTCAAAACTATTTGGATCAAATAGTTGTGTCATCGGACTGAGGTCACTTAGACGTTAGACAATATAGTTTATCTATTAAAGTGTGTCTCATTTCTTACTTAGCCCGGGATCTCAGTGGGCTGGCTTGGTTACTTTAACACGTCAATTATGACCCACCCCCCCCTTCCACTTTACAATCCACACAGCCAACTCTGAGAATAAATGATGCTCTCCTCGGGGGCATGGGAGAAATTACACCCAGGCTAAGTGAGAGCCACGGATTTTGCCCGGGCGCTGATTAAGTGTTCAGCGGGAGCACAGAATTACATGCGGACCGGTACATTCGCTGATCGCGGGGCGGGTAACTTAATTAGAATGCAAGCGGAACCTCTACGCGCACAGAAACAGCCTAATCAAAGGTAGATGTTGGCTTCGAAATCATGGATATAACACTGGCTCTCTCGCGCACGATCCACTTAATAAAGTGGGAGGCAGGCGAATGTTTACCCTCGTATGTTTGCCGATCTCCCCGGCTCGAATACATTAACTAAATAACAATCATTATCAGCTGTCTAGATGAGGTCGGCGGAGATGCTCAAGGTGGACAGGTGGTTGTGTGAATTTCATTGGGAGCACAGTCGACGAAAGACACGTTTGTCGCAAAGGCCTCCCTCCATCACCTCCAAATACAGTAAAACCTTGGATTGCGAGTAACCTGGTCTGCGAGTGTTTTGCAAGACGAGCAATCTTTTTAAATAAATATTAATTTGATAAACGAGCGAGGCCTTGCAATACGAGTAGTACGTGTATACGCTTTGTCTGCCGAGTGTCACGTGATCACAACTGATATACGAGTGCTTTGGATTACAAACACGTTTCCGGAACGAATTATGCTCGCAATCCAAGCTTTTACTGTGCACGTTTGATCGTGCGATTCGAGAGGTTGCTTTGGCCAACGTGGGAGACGCAGAACCGGTTGGGATACATCACTTTGCGAGCCGATGCAAGCAGCAATCGGGAGTCGTGGCTCTGGTGGGCTCAGGTGGGCCGGGTTCACAGCGCAATGCGAGAACCACCGTTACCCATCGCTCGAGACTTCCACCACGCTGTGTTTTGTTTAACGGAATTAGTATTCGTGAAAAACAAATCGACTGATGGCATTTTGGAGTCACAGGGACGATGTGAAATCAACAAGAGGCCAGATCGGTTCGGAACTTTTTGACCTCTCCTTGGTGCACGCTTGTCACCTGTTCGTGGCAGACCCCCCCCCCCCCACTACAAACACGGGACTGCTCTTTTACCCCCCACAAATATATATAAATACAAATTAATGACACCATTAGCCTTATTCTTAGGTTTTTTTCGATAAAGTCACGTAGGTAAAACATTTTTTATAAAAATAAAATTAAAATAAAAATCACGACGTTTCGGAGGCAACACAAGCTTCCGTCTTCAGGTGGAACCGTCACAGCACGCTTGCTGTGTCAAGTAAATGAGAGATTACAAGAGATACCACTCCGTATATATAATGGTTGAGGGGGGGGGGGTGGGCCAGGAACGGCCCACTTTTATTATTATGGTAAGGTGCGGCTTGAGACTACGGCTAGACTACATAACAAATGACTGAGCCTTTATTATGGAGAGGTGCGGCTTGTGACTACCGCTAGCCTACATAACAAAATGCTGCAAATGAGACCGAGTCTCTGCCATGTATATGGTAAAAGCACAAAAGCAGGTCAGGAAGAAACAGCCTCCTGCTATGTTGTTTGGTGGGTAAAACTTATAGCAGGAAACCAGTGTGTGAAAAAAGAAGCTAAACCTGGTAAACAAAACTGGCTGTCTATCAGTAACCTGTACAGTAACTCAAGAATAGTTGTCTGTCAAATAAGATGGTCCAAATAAGTGCAGTCGAAACGTCGTGAGAATCTTATTGTTTTATATGTTTATTATTTTATTGTTTCCCTTCTACGTGACTTTACCGAAAGAACCAAGAATATGAATCCCTGCAGTCGCGAAAGCTTTAAATCAAAATATAATGGGGCACGTTGCCATCGAGGCCACAGTTTCAATGCCAATTGCAGAATGTGGCATTTGGAAATCCGCCAGAGCGTGCCACCTACCAACGAATGGGAGACAGAGACTCTGTTTGAGTTGATTCGAAATTGATGTGTTTACGTTCCAAACGTGTTCAATATTCTTCCTGGTTCTTTCGGTAAAGTCACGTAGAAGGGAAAAAATAAAATAATTAGAAATAATAAAATAATTCTCGCGACGTTTCGGCCACAATGCAAGCAGCCGTCCTCAGGTGAAGACCAGACGCTGTCTTCCCGACAGACCTGGCCTTCAGCTGAAGACGGCTGCTTGCGTTGTGGCCGAAACGTGAGAATTATTTTTTTGTATTTTTTTTATTTCCCTTCTACGTGACTTTACCGAAAGAACCAAGAAGATGTTCAATATTTTTTGATTGCTCACCCACTTACCGGTGCGCTGAAGCAATTATAAACGTGCACGTTTGCTCTGCGTGACGGCTTCGTTTTTTTTTTACTTCTTCGGGTGGAGGAGGGCGCTTTCAACACACATTGGCATTGCACACGCGTGTTCTCACTCGTAAAATCAATTGCGAATCATGAGATTGAATCGCGTCGAGTCCCGTCATTGTGGAGAGGAGATCATTGTGTGTCGGAGTCTGGGACCACAACAGCTGAGTTGCCCAGGGGTCGGAGATAACTGAGCCTGGGTTCCATGTTGGGTTTCAGCCTCCTGTGTTTACGTTTGATTCCCAAGTGCAGTGCGTTGATGATGGTTTCAACCCGCTCACCAATAACTGCAAAGACAAAGATCCCCCGTATGGCCTTAATATATTATTGGGGCAAGTGCTGCTATTGAATACCTTTGAAGGCCAGAACGGCACACGAGGGGGTGGGTCGTTAGCACCACACCCGTCCGCCTTTGTCTCCCTATTAGCGATGTTTACACATCACACCAGGTACTCACTTGAGGCTGAGTCGACCTAGGGGAGGCCCAGGACCGGTTGAGATAATCGTCACTGGTGTTGGCCGGGTTCTGGGCGAAATGCGCTAACCGCTATGCTCGCGTTCCCCACGCCAATAACCACACATATGCACAAAACGTATTGTTTTAAATTAGATTTTGACTTAATTGGGTGAATTTACAGAAATAAAATGCACGTATCAGTTTGGGCATTCGCATGACTGCAAGATATGAGTGATTGCCTCTCCATATAAAACCTAGACATGCCTTCTGATTCTCGACAGCGTCTTGAGATTTGGAGTTTGCATATCTCTCACTCCCCATAGTCGCGCGGATTTTTCTTATTATTCCCTCGACTTTTAGAATCAACATCGCGCGTTTCGAGTATTTGACTGCTCCTATAAATTGTCCACGCGATGAGAAGTCCACACTTCGTCGAGCTATCATTTGTGATCTGCCAGGAGCGTTACCTGGTAAAGATTTTAAACAAAAAAGAGTAGATGCGGTGGTATTTGAACGCTGTGTAAATCCGCGCTGTGGTGTTGCGTTTGCAATCAATATTAATGCGGCGTTTTGCCAGCGGTCCGG